TTATTTTATGGTAATTACCCAAAAAGTTAAATGCAAAGGAGTGCAAGAGATTAACCGCCTGAGGGCCTGGATCCAAGCAATGTTCCACACAAGTCCAGCTCAAGACTTAGAGTCCAAGACATTGCCCTCCATGAGTCCATCCAGTGGTCTAGAGCCCACGACAATGTCTCATGTTGGTACATGTTGAGGATGTGCACCTGGAAGGCCCAAAGGCTAATGGTGGAAGCCAGAAAACCTACACTGATGAACTCAAGGATTTGTGCCATCAAGCTGAGGGATCCACATTGGAGCGGGGAAGTGATGCTCATGGTGAAGATCAAAGCTCCCCTGATGAAAACAGCAGCCATTCCCAGTGATAGCAAGGACTGGAGCTCCTCTGATGAGAACAGCGTAGTTCACATGAGGAAAACCATCTGCATTAAGCTTCTAGAAAATCAACAGGCCAAGATCTTCCCCACAGGTTCTCTTTGTATAGCTATTGACAACTATACTCAGGTGGATCCTTCATGCCCGGACCACCCTGATTCATTTCAGCTCAGCATTACGAGTAGACCATTAGTTAATATACTACACTTGGTGTCATCGGTAGTACATTTCCAAAAACTTTGTCAGGATTAAAGTAAATGAGAAATAAATTATGGTCATTACCATGTAAAACCCTTATCGATTATCAGGTTAATGGATTTAAACCTGAAGATGACAGTATTTAGTCATATTTCTATTAATAGGAGTGGAAGTCAAGATTAAGATTTTGCTGGATAGAACTTAGACTGTCTGGTTCATTTGCTTTAGCTCTTTGTCTCAGGTAGATGAGCTTGTAGTTCTTAACCTTAATTTCCCTGCCTGTTACTGGACATGTAAGGTTATTTTTATGTTTTACTGTTTCAGAGTACATTAGTGAATAAGAGTGCATTGGTGAATAATGTCCTTGAATATGGGCCTTTCACTAGGGGAGCTCAGTCACAATTCCTAAAAATGGGCAAGCACATGAACATACCCTTGGTCTGCTTTTGTGCTGACAAGTTGCACTGATCTGCTTTTCGTGTTGCCTCATTTTCTAACGCTTTCACCAAGCTTAACTTTTATTGAAATTTTAAACACTATTAATTTTATATATGAAATATATTTCATTATTTTAATTGTATTTCTTCAATTCTGAATGTGGCTATATATTTGCATTAAATTTTTTTAAAGTCTATTTTTTAGGTGAGGCAGTTTTATTTTTATGGCAAAATGGAGTAGAAATTACATGCACCTCTCCATAGTTCCAGCCTACACACATCCAAAATCTCCCCCACCCCCTGTGAGCATTCCTTAAGTGAGGCATTTATTAAAGCTGATGAAGCTTCGTGGATGCACCATTATTTCTCAATGTGCAAGTTTATAATAAGGTCACTCTTGTGGAGTCTACAGATTTGGACAATTTGTAATGACATGTAGCCACTTTTATATAATATAGAAGAGTTTTGTTTCCCTAAAAAGCCTCTGCTCTGCTTTTTCTTCCCTTCCTCCTTTGAAACTCTTGCCAACCAGTGCCTTTTACTGTCTCTATAAGTTTTGCCTTTTCTGGAATAAAATACATTTGCAATTGAACACTGACCTTTTCAGATTGGCCTCTTTCACTTAATATACATTTAGGATTCTTCATGTCTTTATGGCTGGATTATACATTTTTCCATGTAGCATGCATTCCTATGGAAGTAGTACTGTATCTTTCCAATAGGAGACACATGATGTCCGTCTGTTCTAGTGAAGGTAACTGGTCACTTAGTTAAGGTGGTGCCTGTCGGAATTCTCCATTGTAAAGTTAATACTTTTCACTCTGGTAAGTGTTTGGTGAGAAGATTCTTTGACACCATGTAAAATGTCCTGTTTCACATAGTGTTACGCAGTAATTTTAAGTTTTCCTTTTCTACTTTCCTGTATCGCTCCATCCTTAAGTATAGAGACAGATGTTCTAAGGCTTACTAAGAGGTGACAGTGTAGGTTCAGAAATACTCATTGATGAATGCATGTCACTTTGATGCACAGCTAGAAGTCAGACTGAGCAGTGGAGAATCTAAATTCCTAGTGATTTAGAAATCAGAGCTTAAAAAAGCAAGCAGAAAATTAGAGGAGGATGTTATTTTAGCCACTGCCAAGGTGGGAGATGATTCAGTTTGTTTACGTTTCAGCACAGCATTTATTAACTGGATGCTGCAGATACTGGTGACTTGATAATAAGCTGCATATGTCATCACACTCCAAATATCTTTGAATAAAATTATTAGAAAACTTGATACTTGGTTCAATTTGTTTGAACTTACCAGTGATTTGCAAGTTAAATTATCAAAATAAAATTGCATAGTATTAGGGCAGAACCTCTGGAGACACTGCATCTGACTGCCTGCCCTTGGTCTTACATGATTTGTGACTGTTCCATAGCTTAGTGCTTGAAAATCCTTTCCATGTTGCTAAGAAACCCAAGAACTATTTTTGCAGGATCTTAAAATTTCAATTCATTTTAGTACAGCATAACGAAGAGCAGTGGAATGTTTAAGCATATTTTGAAAAGGAAATACTGGAGTTGTTTTAAAAATCTGTATAATTTTTTAAGCAGCATGATCATCTCTGGAGAACAGAGCATTGGGTCCAGGGCCCCCTTGCAGATTTTTAAACCCACATATGCTCAAGTCCTTATATAAAATGGTCTGGGACTTGCATATAACTGAAGCACATCCTTCAGTAAACTTTTAATCATCCCTAGGTTAATTATAATTCCTAATACCATGTAAATGATGTGTAAATAGTTGTTATATTGTTGAAGGAATGATGACAGGGAAAAGTCTTATTAGTACTGGTGAAATATTTAAAAGAAAATTATCTTCTATTGAAAGTTGGTTGAATCTGAATATAGAACCCACAGGTGTGAAGGGCTGTACAAATTAAATCTGAGAATAGAGCAAAACTGGACATTTTCTTAAAACCTCAGTTCTCAAAAACACAAGTTGCTGATAACATTTTGGTATATATCTTCACATCATTTTTATATATGTATTGTTACAGTTTAGATATGCATTATCTATAAAGTCTCATGTGTTAATAACATAGATGCCAGCCTATGGTGGTCCTGGCAGGTGATGGAAACATGAGGAGATAGGGCCTGATGGTAGGAATTTGCGTCATTGGTGATGTGCCTGGAAGGGCCAGCAGGGACCCCAGCCTCTTTTTCTCTTAATCTCTCTCTTTACCTCTCTGTTTTTCCCACCATCTCTCTTTCTTACTCTTCCTTCCCCATCCTCCTCTCCTTCTCCCCTTCTCCTCAGCCTCTGGGTGCTCCCAATGCCGACTCCCTGTTCAGCCTCACCACAGGCCCAAAGCACGGGGCCAAGTAACCAATTACTCTGAAACTGTGGGTCAAAAATAAATCTCTCCTGTGTGTGTGTCATTTATCTCAGATATTTTGATATAGCGATAGAAAGCTGACCTTGTGCATGTATAGTAGTTTTAAGGTAGTCTTTTACAATAAAAATATTTTTCTGTATCTGAGAAGAATGAATTAGAATTTGAACTTTTACACCTATAGATGTCCAATGTCATTTAGTTCTTTTTTTGATAATAATGAGGATTGAACCCAGGCCCTTGCATATGCTAACCAAGAACTCTACCACTAAGCTACTTCTTCTGCCCTCATTTAACATGTTTCTTGACATCTATAAAATGGAAACTCTAAAAGCACATCATGACTAAAAGATTTTATTGTGTACAACAATTTTACATTCTCACTTACATATTTTTTTCTCCTTGTTTGGGGCTATTTTGAAGTGGAAATTTTCACTCCAGAATGTACTTAGGTTACTTATCTCTTACTTGATGTATGAAGTCTGAAGGGAAAAGAAAAAATATGAGAAAAGGAAAAACATGGAAACAAAGTCTTTGTAAATATGGAAGGGTGGAGGGGATGAAGGGAGAGGGCAGGGAAATGGGTACAAGATCCTAATGCTGAATGTAATTGTATACCTAAAATGTACCAGTAAACTAATGGGGAAAAAAAGGTAGGCCAAGGTCACTTAGTTCCATTAAGGGAGAATGAGTAGCATGTGCTGCTTTGCTGATTAAAGGCCTTTAATTAAAAACAAAACAAAAAAAACAGCCAGGTGTGGTAGTGCATGCTTATCATCCCAGCACTCCCAGAGGCTGAGGCAGGAGGATCGCTGTGAGTTCAAGGCCACTCTGAGCTACATAGTGAATGAGCATAGCAAGACCCTGTCTCAACAACAGCAGCAACAACAAAACAAAGTATTAAAAAGCAGACAAATTAAATGCAGGCAACAAATTCTAATTGCTATACAAAGGAACTCTTGAAATAGCAGAATTTTTTTCTGGTAGGTTAATGCTTCCCCTTCTCCCCCAACATTTCTAAAATTGATCAGACTTCTACAGTAGGAGGTAATTTTTTCCTGCTGTAGTTTCTTTCTGTTCTGATGGAGCTAGTGATTTAATGGTAAATCAGGACTTTTCTTTTTAAATTGTTATTTTATTTTGAGACAAGTTCTCCTACATATTCCCACCTGGCTTGGGGTTATGATCCTAGTGGTAGGGTTACAGGCAGTGCCCCTGGTGCCTGGCTGTACCTGAGCTATACAAGGTCCTAAAAGTATAAGGTCAAGAAGAAAGGAAGAAGATAAATTCATCAGCATCTACTTGTAACAAAGCCCTGGATGCTAGGTAAATCAGTTTTATATTGTGACCATTCGTAGGAGGAAGGACAAAAAAATCTTTATGATATGGGGAGGTAGAAGAAGGCCTTAGTGGATGATATGAAAAATGGAAGTTTATTTAGTAGACATGACTGAAAGTGTTCAGAGGTTTAAAGTTTGGAGAAACACTTGCAGTTATACTCATAAATATCAAATGTTATCTTTAAATAGATATGATAATGAAAACGGAGTCATACATATTGGGGACTGGATGGTAGATAGTCCATTCAGTCTGAAGCAGTAGGTTTGGCTGACGCATCAATGAATCTTTGTGGTGTCATAAAGCCACCTCAGCCCGAGAGTCAAAGGTCATGTGTCCGTGATCCTATGGGTTTCCAGGGTAGGAGACACTGAGGTAAGTGCTAGGCTCACGAATGGGGTTGCACACAGCTGATCTTAATAGGAGCAGAGCATTGTAGAATCATAACGTTGGCAGATGCCTCAGTTCTTTGCCTTGTGGGTTGTTCACACAGTGTCAGGGACCTACTTCTGTTAGAACAAGTGACCTCAAAATTAAGGGAAGAAGTGTAGAGAATTTGTATCTATTTTTAATTTATTTGAGGAGATTCCCTTAAATGCTGTTGAATAAAAGCCTGACTGTAAATGATCTTAAATGTTCCCTGGCTTTTCTTTAGTTCTCACTCAGTCTTTTGGTTTCAACTTAATCAACATTTCATTAAATCTGACAGTTTAAATACTGTAAGTTTATTCTACAGCTAGTAGAAAGGATCTGGTTATGACTAATAATGCTTCATTTTAGTTTATTCTATTTGCATTTATTATTTGAAAAAACAGTGTCAAAATAGATATCAGTGTTGGGCCATACATGAGCCCAAGTGGTAGAGAGCTGTTTCTTAAACAGAAAATGGTGAAACTTATGCTTTTACATATATTATATGTTTCTACATATATTACATATATTATATAAACTATTAGGTTGTTATAAAGAAACCACAAATAAGACTACTTGTGCTGTGCTTTATCTTCATATCAAATAGTATAACATGTGATGTCATTTATATACTCAATTTGCATTTCAAATCAGGCTGACTTGTTCAAATTTAATCTTATTTGAAGACAAGCATTGAACAAACTTATTATATGGAAATTGTTTCTATTTTTTGTTTTGAATGGATGTCCTTTTTTTTTAAATTTTAAATTGAATATATTGGTACATTCTAGGTAGACAGTACAGTTACATTCATTACTGGGATCTTGTACCTTTACACGCCAGGTCTTGGTTCTCATTTTTTCCCCTTGTCCCCATCCTCCCTTCACCCCTCCCCCCCTCCCCCCTTCAAACACTTTAATTCCATTTTTACATTTTCTCATATTTTTTTCCTTTTCCCTTATTCCCCTTTCCCTATCCTTCTCACTGTCCCTACACCTTTGGTCCTTTTCTTCCTATTTCACATTGCTATTGTCCCGTTAGGATCTTGAGTACTATTTTAGTTTTTCACACCAGAGAAACTATTCAGTATTTGCATATGTGTGACTTATTTATTTCACTTAGGAGTATATCCTCAATATGTATCCATTTTCCTATGAATGAATCTACTTTCTCATTCTTTATGGCTGAGTAGTACTCCATTTTATAGAAAAACCACATCTTTATTCAGTTTCCAACTGATGGGCAGATGGGCTGTTTCCAAGTTTTAGCTATTACAAATTGTTCCGCTATAAACATGGGCGTGCATATATCACCATGGTATGATTCTTTTAATTCTTTTGGAAAGATACCCAACAGCAGAGGGATGGCTGGGTCAAATGGAACCTCTAATCCTAGTTCTTTGAGGTGTCTCCATATTGATTTCCACAGTGGTTGCACCAGTCTGCACTCCCACCAACAATGGAGAAGGGTTCCTTTCTTCCCACAAACGCGCCAACATTTGTTGCTGCGTGATTTCTTGATAGCCATTCTTTGAGGGGTGAGGTGAAATCTCAGTGTTGTTTTCATCTGCATCTCTCGAATGACCAGTGATGTGGAGCATTTTTTCATATATTTATTTGCTGCTTTTATTTGTTTGCCTGAGAAATGTCTGTTCATTTCAGATGCCCACTTTAGAATTGGGTCTTTATATTTGGGGGGGCTGGTTGTTTTGAGTTCTTTATATATTTTAGATAATAGTCCTTTGTCTAAGGAGCAGCTGGTAAAAAGTTTTTCCCATATTGTAGATTGTCTCTTAGTTCTGTTGATGGTTTCTTTTGCAGTGCAGAGACTTTTTAATAAGATGAGATCCCAGTTGTTGATTCCTTCTGCTAGTTCCCAAGCTACTGATGATTTGTTCATAAAGTCTTTTCCTATGCCAATGTCTTCAATAGTTCTGTCTAACTTATCTTCCAGCAAGTTTAGTGTTTTTGTTTTTATATTTAGATCTTTAATCCACTTGGATTTTAATTTAGTGAATGGTGAGAGATAAGGGTCTAGTTTTAATCTTTGGCAGGTTGAGATCCAGTTTTTCCAACACCATTTATTAAAGAGGCTATCTTTCCTCCAGTGGGGACTGTCAGCTCCTTTGTCAAAGATGAGGTAGCTGAGTGTATCTGGAGTTGTTTTTGTGTCTTCCAATCTGTTCCACTGATCCTCTGTTTCTTTGTCAGTACCATGCTGTTTTTATCACAGTGGCTTTGTAGTATAGTTTCAAATTGGGAATTTTTATACCCGCAGCCATGTGTCTGTTGCCTAGGATGGCTTTTGCTATTCTAGGTCTCTTATGGTTCCAAATGAATTTTTGCGATTCTTCTTTCTAGTTCTGTGAAGTATAGTGTTGGGATTTCAGTTGGTATTGCATTGAATCTGTATAGCAGTTTTGATAGTATGGCCATTTTCACTATGTTGATTCTTCCTATGAATGGATGTCCTTTTGAAAACTTTTTTTCTTGCACATCAAGAAATAGAATCATTTTGCTTAGAGTTAATTTCCACCTTTTATGTATATAAGAGGCATTAGCATTGTCACAGTGAACTATTAGGAAGGAGACATTGTTTTTTCCAGTAAATGTGTAGATTTATTTTAAATCAGTTTGGTACATGATACAGATTGATTTTGAAGTTTTTAATGAATTGAAATAGAAACTTCTAAATACAGCAGTGTCTGCCTGTGCATTAAGTATCTATAAGGTAAAATAAGGTATCTGACAGCACATAAGCATGAATAAATCAGATAAAAAAATCTGAAAAGGTTTCTAATATACCTTCTGAATTAAGTAAAACCCAAAAACTATTGCTGGTTCAAGATACTACATTGCTAAAAGGAAGGGGAAAAAAAGAAGAGGCTATGTATTCTGTTGCAAAAGATCATGAGACTTGCAAAAACCCAACTTCGTATGACTTTGTTGTTAGAGAAGTTCTCAAAATTATAGAAGCTTCCAATTACTTCCACAAAATTTCGTACATGTGTTGACATTAATGTGTGGCAAACGGTTCCTATCCAGGTGACAATTGCTCATTTTTGCCACTTTGTGAGGATGGGAATTCTATATATTTCAAACGAATTTTATAGCACTCACCAAATACAGCCATGGCACCATAATAAATTTTGTGAAGTACCTAAAATATTACATTTAATGAAAAAAGCAAAATAGTGAGGTAAGCCTAGCCTTTTCCAAAAATCTTTGAAGCTAGAGATTTAAACAGTTAAGGCACTTGAAAACATTAGGTGTTATGTACAAATGTGCAAGCAAAACAAACTTTAGCTGTTTAACTGTACCAGCAATGACAAGGAAACAATAACTCTTCATTTTGAGAACCTTTAATATAATCACCTAAAGAGTTTGTTTATGAATTGAAGCAAAGCAATCATTTTCTACTATAAAATGCTGAAAACCAAGTGCTAAACTCAGCTACTATAGGCCAGGGAGAAAGGAGAAAAAAAAAAAAAAAAAAGACCTAGAAAAACAAAAGCCTATTTTAAACTAATTAAGGCCTCTGAACTAATTAATCCATTGTATCAAAGGCAAGAGAGAAGTAACCCTCCTAAAACTAAGAAAATTAATGCTTGATGAGAAAGGACAGCAACAAAAATATCCATTCTTATTATTCTATAGGAATTGAAATCAAGGAGAAAATAAAAAAGGACAAAACAGTCTATCCAGGGCAATCATAAAAATCTAACTGGATCAAAAAACCCATAAAGTTTTTTTTGTTTTTCTTTCTTTTGAGAAAGGGCTTTGCTCTGTAGTTCAGGCTGGCCCCAAACACAAGGAGATCCTCCTTGCCTCAGCTCCCAAGTGCCAAGCATGCCCCCATCATACCTGTCTTATAACCCATAGGTTCTGGAAATTTTACTGGCCACGTTTGCTTGGAAAACTGAAGATGACTCTCACTTAAAGAGCTAATAAATGATTCTAAAACTTATTTTCTTATAGCCTTAAAAAAGTTACTTTCCAGGAAAGCTTGGGAGAAATCTTTTCAAAGTACAGAAGCATTAGGATATCTTTTTGGGGAACAGATAAAAGTTACCTAATCAGTTTAATCTTTTTTCAATAGCCCTAAGAAAAATGATGGAAGGTTCAAAATATGAAGACCTTCAACTTAGTATAATATTCTTCAGCTTCACTTTCTCAGCTATGAAACAAAATTGTTTTTAATTAAACATTAACAATATGGTATCTAGAAGCAGGTTTACTATTGCTTTCTTCAACATTATATCTTTAGAACCTTTGCCTTCCTCAATGTAAAAGAACAAGTCATAAACATTTTAAGTCACAGCTTACCTTTCAGTCTGTCTTTTAAGGCACTGTTCTTTATATTCTCAAAGATACAAGGTGCTTTACAAGTATGAACAAGAAACTGTTAACATTAATGATTTGTATCCTTTCCATTAAGTCTGGAATGTAATTCCCTATGTAACAATTTATTTCTAATGTAGAAAAAAAATAACAACACAAAATTTTATAAGGATACAATTTAGTACTACTAAATAGATTAATTCCACTTTTGAAATTCTAGCCACACCAGATTGATGCTTGCTTGGCACACTTCTCATTTCTAGCCACTGAGTAACATCTTGAATTAGGATGAAAATAATGCAGCTTTCAGACTTTAAGATGACTAAATTTAATCTGCTAAGAGTCAGGAGGTTGTCTGCATAGGATAACATTTTCCATTACTTAGAGAAAGTTATATTTGGCATGTGAAGAAAAGAAACATAATCCCACAGCAACAGCCAGTTAAAATAAAAGACAGCCCCAAGGATTCATGCAGGATATTTATTCCTTTTAGCAAAATGGTTTAACTGATTTTTCTTCCGGTAAGATGCTCCAAAATATCCTATGCACCCTTTGTAAATTTAAAGATCCTGGAATAGTGTCTTCCACGTGGGACATCTTGAAAGATAGTATTTTGGTTTCAGTGAGTTACACAAATGAATTGCTAGTCCTTAATTTAATAGGTCCATTTACAGAGTATGGTAATTTCCTTCTTTATATTTGCAGAATTTATAAAGAAAGAAAATTACACCTTGTACACCCAAGACAAGGAGAATTCCTCCAATAAAACTGGCTGCATCAAAGGTAGACTTCCGTGCAGGTTCTAAGGTTGGAGTCAAAGTGGTATTTGCTGTACCGTTGTGGTAACTGGTGGAAGAAGGGGAAGGCGAAGTTGTGGTTTTAGCTGTTCACATTGGTTGGCACTGGAGGAGCACTAGTAGGCACAGAACAGGAGGAAATGTTCACCATGCTACAATTACTGTTACTGTTGAATTATAGGAACAGTAGCTCTTACTTGCTTCTTTACATTCTGTCCAATAGCAAATAGTATTAACAATACTTGAGTTAGAACAGGAAAGACAGCTTTTGTGGCTTTCACAGGTTTCTGGTGTGGGGGGGTGGTTGGAGGCGAGGCAGACGTCACAGTCATTGAGACAATCTTGGTGGGCGCCCAAGTCGTTTTCGCTGTCCCGGGTGGGTTCGTGGTGACGTTGGTGCCCAAAGAGAGCACATTCTGCAGGCAGAGCTCGGCCAGGCAGGTGCGACCCCCGACATCTTGTCCTTGGCGCTGGTGTCTGGCCGCCGCTCCCCTGCTGCGCCGTCTCCAAGACTTCCCTCCCCCGCAGGAGCGCGCAGGGCTCACAAGCAAGGAGACATTTTTTGAGCTCTTACTCAATTGCAGACTGTTTAAGCCATCTCCAGTGGATCCCAGTGGAAGAATGTTTGCGGGGAATTTTTGTTTGTTTGGAGCTTAGGTTATCTTGTATTACATATTTTTCAAATAATGCCATTTGGGCCAGGTACACTTGTAATTCCAGCACTCAGGAGGCTGAGGCAGGAAGACTACCATGAGTTTGAGGCCAACCAGGGTTACATAGTAGTTGAAGGAAAACCTGAACTGCACAGAGACTCCACCTCCAAAAAAATCCCCCCAAATTGTCATTCAACATTTTTTAGAATTGTGAGGTAAATGAAATTTTATACACTGTGAATTTCAGAGTAAGACAGGATTTTAAGAAGACTTTAAAAAAAATAAAGTACCATTGCATTTTTTTTTTCAAAAGGGAAATAGAAAGGGATGAACAGTGAGAAATTCCTTAAAGATATTATTGAAGCCAACTATTTGATAAATTGTAAAATATGCAATCATGCATTATTTGGGGATAGATTCTGAGGCGATTTTGTCACAGAGTGAAGATCAGAGTATTCTTAAACAAGTCTGTGTATAGCCTCTTGCTGCTGTGCTACAAACCCCTACAGCATGGTACTTTACTGAATTACTCTAGGAATTGGTAACAGTGGCATTACCTATCTAAACATAAAAAGGTTCAGTGAAAATACTAGGCAGTAGAGTTTTCTTTTCAACTCTGTTTTAATCAAATGGGACCATGGTCAGAAATTTCTTTGAAGCATTGCTATGCAGCCTATAAATTGTTTTGTTTTGAATTATCTTCTTCAAAATTTATTGCTTAGAAATGTAACCATTCGATATAAGTTACAAAATCGTTTCATAAAAGTTTAGAATTAAAGATGTGGCAGAAAATGAGTCAAAATTTATTAGCACCTACCTGCGCTGATAACAGTGAGTTCTCAATGTGTCATGGCAGTGTGGTTAACATGAGCTAATATAGCGTTGAATTTGTGTGACATCACTGATCTTTCAGAAAATGTAACCACAGTTTTGACCATCTGGGAACTTAGATTTTATATTATGTTGAGAAGCTTATGTTGTTCTATGTGAAACCAGATAGTATTAATAATGTCATTTCAGTTTTACAAAGGCACCATTTAATTTAAACTCCATTCCTTTGGACTCAAAACCCTTCCGGTGTCCCCCACTTCACTGTGCTCCCTGGAATGTCTACAGGCACAGATGCCGTTATTCCCAAAGTGTTCACAGATGCTTACTCCCATATGCATGTTTCTTTCTACAGATGTCGCCAGAAGTTTGAGTATCACTCCTCCTGATCAGATGATGATTGAAAAAGCCAAAGGGGAAACGGCCTATCTTCCGTGCAAATTCACTGTTGGTCCTGATGACCAGGGACCACTGGACATTGAATGGCTGCTATCACCAGCTGACAATCAGCAGGTGGATCAAGTGGTGAGTTGAGAAATGATTGCTCACTGGGCAGTCGTGCAACCGCCTCCTGTTTCCATCATTGTGCTCTTCACCTAGATGGGGCATATTTGCTGGGAAGACAACCTAGCCAGCTCAGCCTTGATCTGGACGAGGAAGGTGATCATGCTGGTGGGAAGTGAGGCCACATATGTAATGGAGTGAGACGTGTAATGATCTAAAAATACAGGAGAAGAAAAGGTCTACATAGTTTTTTACAGAAAGCTTTTAGGAACATTCAGAAAATCTGAGTTTGAATGTGTAGCTCACAAGGCAGGGACTAGCGGAGAGGATTGTAGAGCTGGAGTGCCCACGTGGCAGGAGTGTTCACAGTGTGATAGAGCGCCTATATTTTGTTGAACATTTGAGAAAAGTGAATTTTAAGTTTTACTTTTGAGGATTCTAGAAGAAGGGTCATAAGATGTAACATAGTATGAAGCAAGTGTATATTGCTGTTACAGGATCTATTTTCTGTATTTCTTCAAGTTACATCCTGTATGAGGAACTTAAGCAGAGTTCAATCTGTACAGAAGAAAAAGTTTGAAATACTTAAATTATAAATTTTTAAAATATCAAAATATTGTTGCAGTATTTTTTCTAATCCAAGTAATAATGAACTACTGTAGAAAACTTGGAAAGCTGAAAATAGTACAGAAAGAAAAACTTGTTCAGTGATCTTGCTTCCAAATACATACATTGTATTTTACTTTTTAAGTATTTAACTTTATTTAAAATGTTCTTATTAAAAAAACATATTAATAAATTATGGTAGACTAGAGGGACGAAAACAGTACACTTAGAGAAGTGTAGTGATATATGTACTTAGAAAAAGAAATTATATTTTTATTGTCCCTGTAAAAGAAGGGCTTAATTAAAATCTGAAAATAAGGTTCTTTAATGTAATGACTGAACAGTTCAATAATTACTATTTTTGGCAAATTCACTCAATTTGCCCTGCATGTATTGTGAAGAAAGTAATTAAGAGGTTTTCCTAAATTGTCAAAATCAAAGACCACTGCTTTGGAGAATATAATCTCTGCCCTGATTCTACCACTGAAACTTCCTTTTGTCTTCTAAGCAAAATAGATTGAGCCTGACTCTTCCTGCTTACTCACCCCACACCAATTCTTTGTTTCTCCATCGTAACTCCCCCACCCCGCCGCCTCGAGCTGGCATCCTGAGTACAGGTTTTTCACTGAGGTTGTGCACTTCCTCTTGCCAGTGCAGTATCAGTCCTGCTGGACGCCAGTGCTGTTGTCATGGTTAAGAAAGAAGAACACGAGTCTTCAGTGCTTCTGTCTGAGGTGCATGAGATGAGTGAAGCCCTTGATCAAGGGCAGATAGAACTGAGAAGCACAGGAAGCCCTGAGACTGTGTAGTGTGTCCTCTAATAGGACCCGAATCTAATAGGACCCTGACTGAGTGGGAGGCACAGTTCTGCTGTCAGCAGGAGTTGTGAGATAAGTGTGAAACCATGTACTTGATCAGAGTATCTATTTCTGTGTTAAAATCTACGTCAAACCAATATAAAATACCAGAAAAGTGGGAGATTACAGAGAAATTGATACAAAAGAGGATGCTTACATAGGATTTCAGCTACTTTGTATGTTAGCTGAAATCCTATTACAGTATATCTAAGCTGGTAGACAGTGGTTAAAGATGAGGAATTGGATTGGACTGCAGAGGTTTTGGAGATTGGGAATACATTCTAAAATGTGTGTTATTAGGTGATTCTGCCATGGTGTGACTGTCGCAGAATATAGCAACACAAACACTGGCTGCCGAATAGACTTATGGGTCCACTTTGTATGTGTATGGAGCACAATTATTTTGTAGCCTTGAAAGACACCCTAGTGTGAGAATAATTCATTTGAAAAGGAGGAAACATGACCAGGGTCACACGGATGGCAATAGATGGAAGTTGTAATTTGAATGTAGTTCTCTGACTTTCACACATACTCTGTTATCATCTTGCACTGCACTGTACTGTCACCTGTGTTCCATAAACTTCTGTTTCCTCCTGTAAAATAGGGACAAATATATCCCACTTCGGAGTTACTGGAATTCAATAAAATACTGTACAGGCATTTAGCCCTTAAGAGATGTTGTTACTATGGCAAACAGATCTGGTTTGCATTTTAGCTGTGTGACTCTTGTGTAGTGTTCCCCGTGAAAAGTGCCATTATTGTTGTAGGGATGTGAAAGGGATGGCATGAAGTGAAGACTTGTAGAATACCTGGTACAGTTAGTTCACCATTTCTTTTTTTTTTTTCCTTATTTAGTTTATTGCTACATTTTAGGTATACAATACAGTTATATTCATTATGGGGATCGTGTACCTTTACATGTCCCATTTCTTAACTACTGTTTATAATGTTGTTTTCATAGGAAAGTGCTAAAAGCCTGCTGAGTTGTGTGTGTGGCAAAATGAACTATTGACAATAGAATAGATTAACTTATGGCCTTTACCACAAATAATTGAGTAGTGTGATGCAGGGGAAGCCAAGGCAGCCTCATTTGTGGAGTTCTCAGTAGTGCTGTTGACAAGTGGGTGTAGCAAGAAGTTGAGCAAATAGAGATGGCTCATGTTTACTAAGTAAGTCACAGCTATGGACTCTGAGGCTGCTTTTTATATTTATATAGTAAAATTATTCACAGGATATAGACTAGATATTTCCTTGATTGTTATTTGAGTTTGGCACCACTTTTTTTGCCCCTTGAGTCTTTTTTTTCCAGTGCCAGGAATTGAACTCAGGACTGCCATGGCACTTTCCAGGTAGGCATGGCACCACTGAGCTACACTCCCCCAATCTTATATGACTAGAGCATAGGATTTTAATAGTGAATGTGAAAAATTATGAAATGTTGTAAATTAACTTTAGAGCTTGTTAGAGATGACTGCTGTTCTTCTCTAAGCCAGACTTAACACAGATTTTATTTTCCTTCTAACTCGAGTCTTTGATCACTGCCATCAGAGCCTGTAATTCTGAAATCTCAGTGGAATAGGAAATGGTCTTTGCTTTAGTCATCAGAAGTTCTTGTTAATCTGGGCACACGTATCTTAGGAGGCCCATTCTATGCTTCTGTACATTAGAATCTAGAACCCTCAAGTGCCTTCAAAGTAGTAGTAGTAAGGCAAAAATAATGTTGTCTTTGAAGACCACAAGTAAATTTTGATAAGCGTTTTTGCAGAGAGAAGGCACTGTATTTTTGGTTTTATACATTTGTTTGATTCAATGCAGGTTTGGTGGCACTTGAATCATGGACTGAATGGGAATGAACATATCTACATCTGTGTTAAGTCTCATAAATCTGTTACAGAGCTATGTTATGTAATTATGTTGGATCTTGGTTTCTCCATTTAAAATGGGAGCATGGGGATAAACTCCAGGAAATCATTGGTCCCTTTCTGTTTTCTCTTTCTGTCTTTTGGATAGTTGTAGATTTTCTAATAATATGATGTTCTACTGTTTCTGTTTTTAGATTCTATATACTATTGGTGTGTCATCGTTCTTTAATGAAACTGGATTTTTTGTTATTTGCTATCTTTGGTTTTCTTTTAGATTATTTTATATTCTGGAGACAAAATTTATGATAACTACTACGAAGCTCTGAAAGGACGAGTACATTTTACGAGTAGTGATCTCAAATCTGGTGATGCATCAATAAATGTAACAAATTTACAGTTATCAGATATTGGCACATACCAGTGCAAGGTGAAAAAAGCTCCTGGTGTTGCAAATAAGAAAGTTTTGCTGACGGTTCTTGGTAAGTTATTTTTATTTGTTTTAACTGGTTAGTAAACAGGAAGGGTGATCATAGTACTGTGGGAGCAGCATCACTATAAGATAAAACCTTAGTTTCTTAGAGTAGGAATTTTAAACGTTTGAAGTGTTTGTGACTTTTCTCAAATAGCATAAAACATAAAGCTAAGATATCTGTCTGTTGATCAATCACAGGCTTGACCCTTTTATACTAACGTCCATGCCCAGCATCTGATCCTCAGAATGAACAAGGAAAAAAACTAACCTAATCTCACCTTTTGTTAGCTGTGTGAAGGATACCATAGAGAGCCAGATGGCCTTGAATTCAAACCTGAGGAGAGAAGTGATAAAAATGAGGATATGAGAAGGAAGAAGGAAGTTATTGCTGAAGGAAAGTAAGGATGACTAATAATCTGATCTACTGAGGCTGTCACAGAGCCAGAGAAGAACTTCTTTGTTTTCAGATGAGTCATGACAGCTGCTGGGAGAAACCTCTGGAATTGTTTTTTTTTTTGTTGTTGTTGTTGTTGTTTTTTTTTAATTGAATTTATTGGTACATTCTAGGTAGACAGTACAGTTACATTCATTACTGGGATCTTGTACCTTTACATGCCAGGTCTTGGTTCTCATTTTTTCCCCTTGCCCCACCCTACCTTGTTTTGTTTTAAAGTGAGAATTGTAAGGAAGTTTATCTACCAGCTTTCCCTGTAAATTCTGTATGGATATTCTGGGGAAAGGTCAGATGAAGTGCCCTCTAGTGACCCAACTGAGTAATAGTCCATTGGAGCTCGCCTTTGGTTCCCTGGGAGAGAATGCCTAATACTTCTGTTCTGAAGGAGTTGCTACCATGGCACTCACAGGGTAATCAAAGTTCGTTCACTGAACTCTAGGTGCTGTGTGGCCATGAACCAGCTGACTTAGTTCATTGGATGTGAAGGGTGACATATTGCTATAACTTCCCTGCATTGTTGGAGACTGCTTTGCTCTTTCAGATATCCTAAAAGTTCTCATGGTTGGTTGCAGCTCACAAAAGAAGCTGAAGTGGGTAATGATAACAAAGGGATTAATAGGTTAGTTTCGTGGCCTCATATCACTAGTTCCTTTTCCTGAAGCTCTGGCAGTCTGTTATTGAGACCTTTAGTATGTGGAGTTGTTCTGAAGAGTACAGCATGCATAACTGGTAGTTTTCAAGATGTGCATAGCGGCGCTCAGACAACAATATGTTGCCAGACAACGGTGGCAATAGCTGGGCTAGTGGCTTAGTCAATTCTGACCCTGAGTGTCCTGGGGGATTTGCAAGCTGTTGATATGGGACAGAGCTTCTGCTGCCACACACACTTTTTAGCTCCCTTTGTTTTTTGTTTTTTTTGGTACCTGGAACTGCACTTGGGACCTTGCGCTTGCAGGACAGGTGGTGGAACCACTGAGCTAAATCCCCAGTCCCTCACACACACTTTTTAATTTTGAAATAATTTTTAGTTTTATAGAAAAATATTTTTGAAAAATTTTATTAGTACATGTTTGCAGTACATAATGATTGTGGGGCATTGATAATTTGTATATAACTCATCAGTCCCCTCTTTCCCCCATTATTTTGCTAGCATCATATGAAAAGTTTTGAAAATACTAGAAAGCACTTTTCCCCCAATGTTAACAAAATCATACTGCAGTTTTCAAAAAATCAAGAAATTAACTAAAATATAGACCAAATTTGAATCTCAGCGTTTAATGTCACAGTTTACTCTGGCACAGAGTCTAGAATCCACAGTGGACGTAATGTCTGTTTAATCTCTTCCCATTCTATCAGGGGTTATATGATATCATGTCTTAGTTTAGCTGTGACCAGTTGGTTTAAATTTTACCTGATGAGCTCCTACACTATACAGTTACTCTTTTCCCCTCTGAAATTAAAAAAACTCTTGAGGATTTTACTTTGAGACTGCAGATATCCTGTTTCTCCCCTAACTTTTGCCCATTAGTTTTAGCATGTATTGATGGCTTTTGCTTGAGTAAGAGTTAATAAATTACATTATTTTTGTAGTACTGAGGTTTGAACCCAGGGCCTTTGCACTGAACTACAGCCCCAGGCTGTAAAAATTTTTTTAAATTAAAAAATTAATTTTAGTGAAGCAGGATCTCACTAAGTCTCTGAATTGCCTGGGCTAGCCTGCATCACCTTTCCTGCATCACCTTTTGTATCACCTTCTCATATGGCTGGGATTATAGGTAGTTAAAATATTTTGAATGGAGCCTGGATTTAGCTCAGTAGTGCTGCTTCCTGCCTTACAAGCACAAAGTTCTGAGTTCAGTCCCCGATACAAAAAAAAAAAAAAAAAAATTATTTTGAACCAAGCAGAAATAGTATTCTTGGAAAGATGATGTAATGATAAAAATATATCTTGTTCCATATAGGGATTTAGAATGTGTTTCCTATAGACTAAGGCCTCTAACATGGAAGGCTCGTGATGTACCGTGGTGCCTTGGAAATCTGCATGATTCTTTCCACAGTTTTTGTTGTACACCGTATTGGATGAGAACTGAATCAGATTTCCCCCTAAAGTCAACATCGTAGCTTAATCATTGAATTTGATTTGGTTCTCATACAGTTCTGGGAAAGTATTAAGTTTGTGAACTGAGGTACCACTGTAATTAATACCCATATGGAGCACAGCATCATTAAATTGGTGGGATATGGGATACTGTGGCAAAATACATCTCATTGGTCTCATACATTTGGCTGGGAAGAATTGCTAGCTGTGTTGATGTCCATGGAGGCAAAAGTTCTCAGGATGATGACTACCAAAGGTATTTCAGAAGCTAAGCTTAGTGGTCAGGAAGAGTGTCATGGGCCAGGAGTTCATGTTCCCTGTGATGTAATGATTGGGGTGGACATGTAAAAGATACTCACTTTCTCTCTCACTAGAAAGTAGTTGGGCTGCTCCAAAATGATACTCAAAAACCAGGGTTGATAAAATAATTGCTCATTATTGGATATGTTTGGAGTGTGGAAAAAAAACATTTTTAGTAGAAAGGTTAGGAATTAGAACTAGATTTTTAGTGAAAAGATTAAGAATCAGAACTAGGATTAGAATATATTGTCAGAAAAGGTTTGGTGTAAGAAGCATTGCTTTAATATTTCATTTGCCAAACTTATTTAAACATAAGTTTAATTGATGTCTCTAGGGTAACTGATCAATCTGAAAAAGAAACAATTTGTTTAGAAAAATCAATAATGCAGTTAATGCATTTATTGATCTCCCTTTTAATAAATACAAGCAGTAATAGATGAGAAGAAATAAATTTGTTGAGGAATATTTAAAATTTTGAAGGTCTGACATCACAGTTGACAACCTTAGTTGAAAGTACTCCACTGCATATGACAAGTCCTGCTCACTAGCTTTAGGAAACGCTTTAAAATTGTCTGTATTTACGTATGACCCAGCAGTTACCTCCTAAAAGGAAAACATATGACAGCATTACATAAGTGTTCAAGCACTGATGTTTATAACAGTGCAAATTTGTAAAACTCATAAACCTTTTTTCATAGTTGTGAAGGAATAAAACCTCATCTAGGACTGAAAGAATGAAAATTAACTTCAACTAAAAAAGTAAAAGCCAACTACAGAATTTATAGAAAACACTTCTCCCAAGGTTGTAGACAGCAGTAAAGTATTATTACAATTTTTCCTAATGTTAGTCCTAGACCCACTTTATTAGAACACTAATTGCTAAAGGCATTATCTCTAGATAGCATCCATTCCACATTTACTCCCCACTTTTGATCTCTCCTCAGAAACAGCCACTTGGGAGTTGAGCTCCGCTTTCTTTAGTTTCCTGAGTCCTCTCTCCTCTCTTCTGCTGGTAGCATTCCATGGTTTGTCAAGGTGCCTTCCACAATGGTTAATCTGATTTTGACAGATGATGTACTTGTTCCTGGTCAGTTTAGCCTATTAAGCTTTAATAGTAGCCCCAGAACTGCAGACAGTATTCAGTAGGGTGGATAGAAAAGTGAACGTGTTATAGTCATTCAGTGGAATATTAATTTGCAGTAACGGCATGACTACCAGTGTATACAACATGTAACAATTTCAAAAGCATCCTGAATGAAAGAAGTGAGACAAGTATAGGTACTTTGTTTTCATTTATATATGATTGTAGAAGGAGAATGCAAGGGTTTGAAGTGAGATTGACTGCAGCCAGCATGGGAGGACTTTCTTGGGAGAGGACTGGACTGCTGCTTAAAGGGTATAGTTGGCTCTCTGTATCCTTGGGTTCTGCATCCTCAGGTTGAACTAACCATGGATCAAAAATACTGAGAAAAAAGTATGTCTCTGCACTGAACATGTATAGACTTTTCTGGGTCTTTTTTCCTCTGAACAATACATTATAATAGCTATTTTTATAGAATTTACCTTATATTAGTTATTATAGGTAATCTGGAGTTGTCCTTTCAGTCTGTAGGGCACTGAAGCATCCCAGTATTTTGGTATCTGCAGAGGTACTAGAATAGATTTTCCTCTGAGGATTCCAAGTGATGACTATGTGTACATATTTGTTAAAAGTGATCAGCCCACATGATTAACTGGTCATTTTAGTATACAAACGTTACAAGTTTAGCCAAAAGTTTTGCAACACCAGAGTTGTGGAAAGTTGCAGTTAGTAGGGGTTTATTGGCTACTCTAAACAATTACTCAAGGGGATGTAGAAAACATGGAGATATAAAAAGAAAAAAGATTTATTTTTTAGTAACACTGCTCTCGATGGATTTGAGTTAATGTGCATAGAGAATGTTAAATCATCCTTATTGCACTAAATGAATTGTCCCTGTTATCAGCACTATTGATTATAAATCCCCTGATTGTCAGTGTGACTTGACACATCCTCCTAAAGGACTGCATTTCAAGCACGGAGATGAATAGGTAAGGAGTGGCGGGGGAGCCTCTTTGAGTACCAAGTCGCCTAGCTTGCATCATCCCTGCTTTTTTCACATGTGCCCATGGAATGGAGGGCACAGAGCTGTGCCTGAGATGCTGCCAACCTCCTTATGCAATGGCTGCTTGCCTGAGCTTATTCTTTTTTTTTTTTTTTTTTTTTTTTTTTTTTTTTGCGGTATCAGGGATCAAACTCAGGACCTTATGCTTACAAGGCAAGTGCATTGCCACTGAGCTAAATCCCTGGCCTCTGAGCTTATTCTTGTTTTGTGTTTGACAAGCTGAGTAAACTGATGTTGAAACCTATTGTGATCTTTCTTTTGTCAATTCTGAACCCAGGACCAACTGATGATGATTCAGTTATCAGTAGTTATGCACCATGCTGTGTTTTTAATTGTTATAAAAATAAATTTCATTTTCTTGTATAAAGTTGAATTTATTATTTTCTTTTCAGTTAAGCCATCAGGTACAAGATGTTTTGTTGATGGATCAGAAGAAATTGGAAATGACTTTAAACTAAAATGTGAACCAAAAGAAGGTTCACTTCCATTACGATATGAATGGCAAAAATTGTCTGACTCCCAGAGAATGCCTACCCCATGGTTAGCAGGTACTGCTCATGATACAAATTGTACCCTGCGCCACTGATTTGGACTTAATTTAGTAGGGTTTATATGTATATGTTACATACTTTAAATTTTTAATTCCTGTCTTTCCTATATAGAGGGATCAAAATTTCATGGGAGTTATTTGGATTTATGACAAGTTAGTGTCATGTAAATGAAGAAAGGTTCCTATAATAATTTCACATTTTAGAATATTATAATTAGTTCCTTTGGCAGATTTTATTTTTATTTGGTGGGAAATGTTTATAATTACAAATTAGTGGCTAAAATATAATGTGTTGGGATCTTGAATGTTTTGCCTCAATTCATATTGATGCTACAGTATTCCATCCAAGGCTTCTCTGTAAATAAGGAAAACCAAAAAACATGTATGATACTAACTGCAGAGTTACACATTGCCTAAATCTGATCATTCATCTGTTTATTATATTTGACCTGTTAGTTCAAACTGATTGTCATACTCTATCTTATCTACCCTCTTTCTATCCATCCTACCCTGGTCTTCAGTAAGTTTTCTTTCTGCTTCTCTCTTCTTCACCTAGAGCCCAAACTGGATGATGCTTCTGATATTCTTTTGAGTGTTCCAAATGGGACATAAAATAAGTCTTGCAAATTTTCCTGCTGCATGAGAGAATCTTTATGGAATGAGCTACTTTTTATCATTAAAATGTGGCCCGAAATAAGCTTTCAACTGCTACAGTGGACCATACCCTTGCTTTAGCTGAAGCTCTGTGGCTGAAGGCTTATACTTTTTTGGCTTTTTTGCCTTGGTCTGGAGGAACTGCAGGCATGACTTAATTCTGGAGACATGCATGGGCTCCACAGAAGTTTGTTTGCATCCAGCATTGTTTTGTCTTTTAACTGAATTGTCAAGTTGGTAGAGTTGAATTTTATTAAAAACTCAGAGTAATATGTTCAATAATTATTTTTCTTTTTCCTCTCCCATAGAAATGACCTCACCTGTTATAACTGTAAGGAATGCTACTTCTGATTACTCTGGAACATACAGCTGTACAGTGCAAAACAGAGTGGGCTCTGATCAGTGCATGCTGCGTCTAGATGTTGTTCCCCGTAAGTGTCTTCTTTCTGTCTTGTTTCTGTTACCTTCATGCAGCTTCTTTTAATTTAGTCAGCAAGGATGTATTGAAGGCAAGGGGATGGTAACTTTAATCACAATCCTCTATGGCTTGGTTGTTAGCTTTTCTAACTCATGGGTAGGAAAAAATAGCTATTTTATTAAGTGGTAAAGTTGTCAAATTAACTTTTATACAGTATTTAGCTATTATGAAAGTATGAGTAACTTAGAACATTCTTGTATGCTAACCCATGATAGCTTCAAATGTTAAATACTTTTTATCTGATTTTATCATTTTTATGTATTTTATTGAAAAATAAGTTCATAAAGAACACTTTTTATAGATTCTCCAAAGTGTATCACAAAAAGCTAGTTTCTTAAAGTTACAACAAAAAAATCAATCTATCACTGTACCGTATATCCTATCTTCAGTGTCATAAATGTAGTTTTTTTTTAAACTATTTTTATTAACATCTTATTCTAGCTTCAAATAGAGCCGGAACAATTACAGGAGCTATTATAGGAACTTTACTTGCTCTTGTGATCATTGGTCTTATCATCTTTTGCTGTCATAAAAAGCGCAGAGAAGAAAAATACGAAAAGGAAGTTCACCATGATATAAGGTAATTACGTGACAGATATGTTTCTAAAGCATTAGTTCTCTGAAGCATGTTATTCTCCTATGAGAAATAAGCAAAAACTTTGACTCCCCCCTTCAACATTTTACAAACCATTTACTTCAAGTGCATATGTCCACCCACTCTTCATTGTGCTTCCCCCAAATTTTCTTCCACCCTATTTTGAGAACTACAAAATGCTTAACTGAGTACTGCCTGTATTTTCACATCAGAGGGTTAGGATGAGGCTCTCAAAAATTATAGCAGCTGCTGAGGTTTAAAGACAAAAACTGGTTGTATCGAGTTGTCATGAATAATTTACAGAACTATTCATAGTATAAGTTTATTTTCTTACTCTAAACTAGTAGATCTTAACTACAAATGCACATTGGATTACAGAACTTTAAAACATAACAACACATGAATAAATAATTTAACATCCTGGAATTGGACACTTTGTAGGTATAGGTGGGATCTAAGCACTTACATTTTTAAAATACACCAAAAGTTACTCAGATATATATTCTTTCTCAGTGCTTGGTATGAACGTTCTTATGCCTAAATTTCCATTCTGAAAGCTTAAATCTGTAAGGTTTTCTGCTAAAGTCCTAGATAACTTTAACAGTAAAATGGGATTTTTTTTTTCCTTTTTTGTAGGGGAGTATGGCCATGAAATATGTCAGTAGGTGTTAATTCTCTTCTCAGCCAGGAAGTGTTAAATAACTAGCTAGATAATGTTCATGTTTGATACTAGGATATAAAACTGAGACTTGTTCATTATAAAACTGTACATTTTTATGAAATATAAAAGTACATATTTCGTTATGAGGTTGTACATTCATTAGTCAGAATGATATGTTGGGGACAAATACATAGTTAATGACATTATGCGTGCTTGCCTCTTTTTTATGTGGGGCTCACCTTCTTTTTTGGTACTGGGGATCAAATTCAGGATCTTGAGTTTTTGAGGCAGGCAACAGCACCACTCAGCTAAATCCCCAGCCCAGGCATTCACTTTTATATACATACTTCATACTTAAATAAGGTCCTTAGTCACGAATCATATGTTACATAATTATAAGTTTTTAGAAACTTGTTCTTCTAACTTCTTGCATTGGGGACTTTGTTTTTTCCAGAGAAGATGTTCCTCCTCCAAAGAGCCGGACATCCACTGCCAGAAGCTACATTGGCAGCAATCATTCATCCCTGGGATCCATGTCTCCTTCCAACATGGAAGGTTATTCTAAGACTCAGTATAACCAAGTACCAAGTAAAGACTTTGAACACGCTCCCCAGAGTCCAACTCTCCTACCCGCTAAGGTAGCTGCCCCTAATCTAAGTCGAATGGGAGCGGTTCCTGTGATGATTCCAGCTCAGAGCAAGGATGGGTCTATAGTATAGAACCTCTGTACTTTGCTTCTGTGCTCTTTGCATTTTTTCTTTTGATGTGTGAAAAATCTATTCAATTTTAAATCTTGTTAATAGCCTCAAAATATATGAAAAGTAGTTGACCAGAAACTGAAAATTTATGATTTACAAAGTTATTTGGTTATCTTGAAACAGTAAAGACATTGGACATAGTAAAGACATTCACCATCTTTAAGAGGCTGATTTTAAAGAGAACTTAATTTTCCTGAGTAAGATGTAGCACTTTGTATATGGAATCATAGGTGAAGAGCTCTATGAATTTACATACATACCACAATGGTTACTTGAATCATCTGAAGTGGTACTTTATAATTTCTACCATTATTTTTAAAATGTCTGTCTCATTTATTTATGCTCCTACAGTGTCCCCAAGATGAGTAAAGAAAGATACGTGGCAAAAATACTTAAGTATGTTTGTACTTGTTTTCGTAGCATCATCAAAAACTCTAAATGTGTTTAGAACATCTCTAATAACAAAACACTGTAGTGTTTTAGAAATGACTAGTTTTACTTCCAACTGATTCATAAACTATGAAATGATTTCTCGATAACTGAATTTTTTTTAAGCACCAAATTGACATAAGTTTTCATATGCTAAGTTGAGAGAGCATCTCTTAGATTTCAATTAGAGCATTTGCATCAGCTGTATATAGAGATGGCGCCATTGGTGCAGTAGTGGGTGTAGATTTATTGGACAGTGATCTGGTGCCTTGAAGCCTGTGGTGGTCTACAGAAGAGTGGCCAGCTAGATCCAGCATGCAGCATTCACAGATCTCAACTGAACACTGTAGGCTGGCCACCTGAGGTTATGTATATCTAAAAAGAAAATGCTATATTTCAGTCATCTGATAATTATAGATTAAAAAAACTCTTAATTATTGATTCTAAATTTTAAGTGTGTGGTTTTTTTTTTTTTTGGACGATGGTATCACATGTTTTTGTTTTCAAAATACGTAATCCTACACTTACCCTCTTGAATGCAGTTCCTGGAGAATGTTTTCATCATAGACTCAGTGATCAAATACATTTTACATGAGTAAATGTCTTCCATCAGTTCTGTACTCCACACTAGGGAGGAGGTAACGGTCACTGTTGTGTGGCCAAATGTGTCTTTGTATAGTTCCAGCCTGATTTGGTTGAGCTTTTAAAAAGTTTGAGCCTTAGGTTTGTGAAAGTGATTTATTCTTAAAAAAAGAAAGAATGAAAAAGAAGTGAAGTAAATTATCCTACCTGCCAAATGTGTTATAAATACTGTTTTTAGTAGAAGAAAGTGAATTTAATGTATTTCCCTTATGATTATGAGGGAGTGTGGATGTAGTAGAATGAGCCAACAGTTTCTTTGTAGTAAATAAGGTCTGTAATAAATTATTTGATTAGCTCTAAAACCATTTCCCTAGATTTTTGTAGGGAGTTGGTTTCTGTTATCTCTTTGGGTGCTATGGTGGTAAACGCTGCCTTATTAATTAATGTTGGCATGTATTGACAATTAGGCAGAGTGTTGTATACACTTTTTAAAAATAAATATAAGCTGAATGTGTAATGAATTAGTGTACAGTTTTACATATTAGGAAGTATTTCTTAAGTAGGTTTCTAACCTTACATAAAATTACCTTTTTATACTTGTGTTAACATTTTCATCTGTGCCTTTTTGCGTAATTTAGTTTCTATTATGACTTTCTGGTGCCTATGAGCTAGCTGTCACCTACTAGAAAGGTGCTTAGAGGTGAAGGTACTGTTTTTAAAAACACATCACTGTGACATCCTCTATCCTTCAAATCTTGCCTCTTTTTTATGTAACTTATTCATGACGATTTGAACACTTTAACATCCCCAACACTTTCTAATTTTATAACAGTAATTATTTTTGAACACTAGACATTGGCCTGTGTTTAAGATACCACAAGAATAAAGTAGAACACAAACTTCAGTTGCAAAACTGTTTTAGTTTGTCCTACTACTGATTTTTTTAATCTAAGTAGAAATTACTATGGGAAATGAACATATGTAAGATTTTGCTTTCCTTAGACTTCATATTTATCTAAGGTTCAAGTATAAATCAGTCTGTTTCAGAAAGTATTTCAGTTCATATTCATACTCAACTATAATCTGAAATTCAAGCTTATAAAAAATGGCTTGGGAGCTGGGGATTTAGCCTAGTGGTTCCAGCACCTGCCTTGCAAGCACAAGGACCCAAGTTCCATCCCCAGTACCCCCCCCCACCAAAAAAAGTGGCTTGGGTAACCTGAACAGACTATTAGGTGTAATTGATATTAGAGGACATAGTTTAGTTTTAGCCATATGTCTCCAGTAACTCTTACTGTAAATTTCACTTGGTACAAAGGTCATTTAATACAAATAATTCCTCAAATAATTCTCACTGCTAATTTTAGGTGAACCAGAGATTAATTATTTGTTGTAGAATTATTGTAAATGATTAAGTAGTTAATGAAGACTTATTAGAGCATCTCCGAGAGAGCCAGTAACAACAGTCAGGAGCAGTACTTCATCTTCAAAGCAAAACTGTTTGATTCTACTGTATATCTGAGAAATCTCATATCATCATTTAGAATTACATAGGATAATTTGAAGAGAAGTGATGATGTGAATTACATAGTTTTATGCTTTGAGTTTGAAGTAGTTTACAGTTATTTTTCTTAATGCTTTTCTTAATATTTTCCTGTAAGAAAGCTCTCCTACCAAAGTTTCTTGCTGATTACACTGATGGGTTTTTCTGGACAAATTATTTCCTTTGAATTTGAACTATTTGCCAAGGGTTTATTACATTGGGAATATATTCTGAGTGTGTCTTAGGGGAAAGTGAATTAAAAAAAAAAGTCATCACTCATAGAGATTATATATGTAAAGAAATGTTTGATTTCTATTAAAAAGATAAGAAATTTACAATTAAGTCGTCGAAATTTGTAGTGAGTAAATAATCTTGATTAAATGTAAGAATTCATTTCATGGAGTTGGCTACCGAATTTTGTAATGTGGCTTATAAAAATAACTATTCTTGGTCTGTTTTTGTGTGCATGCAGCATGTAAATTTGAAGTTAAGTGCATGTTTATAGTTTTTTCTAATTTGCATTTCAACAGTGTTTAGGGTTTGGATGCCTTATTCCAGTATGAACAGAAATAGTCCTTATTTTATGTGTTTGATTCTTGATATGTCATGTATGGAGTAGTTTATAGAAAATGGCACAATTGGAACTTTTCAATGGCATGTGACATTATTAAATACATATGTGTACATATATCTTTATGATGTTTCTGTGTTTAGTAATGTAAATGTTCTGGGCAAGTTTTAATATTTCAGATAGTCATTCTTCAATAGAATTTCTTGTTTGCTGACTTTGTCGCTAAAATAGTCCATAAGTGACCACAAACTCCTTTTATAAATGTTATAGAGCAGGGGAGAATAATAAATTTGTGAATTGTGGGTTTTTTTTTCGGGGGGAGGCTGATCATTTACCTTATGGATAGTAACACTAGCCTTTTAAAATCAAGTTTTATATAATATCCTATTTTATAATTTAAGAATAAAGTAAATATCAGTTGAATTTAGTACTGATCATAGACACTAATATTTCCATCAAAGAAGCACTTTGTATTTCCTGCTAACTTGTTTAATTCTGCAAGTATTAAAACCACAATTCACTGATTGACTCATTCTTATCCCTGTGAATTTTAATGATAAATACACTTATACCACTGAGAAAAATATTTTGACTCTTCAGATTTTCAAAATAGAGTATTGACAGTTTCAGTTTCATAGTTTATATTTAAAATTTCTGGCTTATGTATCCAGTGGTGCAGATTTTGAAATTTGTGCGACCAAATCTGTTTAAAAAAACAAAAACTTGCTCTTAGTTTTGTGTCCTTGTGTACTTTTGAAATAAAATCAAGAGGTTCTCTACCTTGTGTGGCTTTATTGTGCCTTTTTTATGAAAAAAAAAAAAGTCTACTAAAGTATCAATACATTATTTCTTCCTGCTTCTCTGTATTGACGTATCCTCTCCCAGTGCATCCTTTAAACAGGAAAAGATTGTGTGTAGATTTTATAAATATATATATAATAGACATATTGTGTGTGTATATACGTATATATATGTATATATCACATACATATATATATGTATATATCAGTAAAAAGTCAAATATTCATATATTCCCCCACTCCTTTGTATTTATATGAGAGTACACAGTGTTTTGAGATTTAAGCTTCCACAGTTCTGTCATTTCAGATTTTTGCAATATAAACTCAAGAGTTTTTTGGATGAATTAAAAATAGGTTTGCATGGTTCTATTAAGTACATACATATCTGACTGAATTGTTCCTGCTGTTGTAACAGTGCCATGCACTAGGTAACTGATAAACAACAGGAATTTATTGCTCACTGTTTTGGAAAGTCAAGGGTTCTGCTGATTTCGGTGTCTGGTGAGGGCTTGTTCTCTCTTTCAAAAATGGCATCTCTTGCTATGTTCTTTCAAGGTGAATAGAGGGAAGGAGCTTGCTGAAGCCTCTTTTATAAGGCACTACTAATTCTATTCAGGAAGATGGAGCTCTCATGACTTGATCATTTTCCAGATGCCCTCCCTCTTAATACTATCACTTCGGGTTTTCACGTTTCAACATAGGATTTTTTTTAATTGAACACAAACCATAACATCTTTTCACAGTTTAAATGTCTTTGCATTGACTTTAGAAAAAGCAGGATGGGCTATTAGTCCTCCTGTAAAAGACATGTTGAGGAATATTTTGTTTATACTAGGGTTGCTCAGTCTCTGCACATCAGTATGCTGGGCAGTGTAATTTTTTGTTGTAGGGCACTGACTTATGAATTGTGAGATGTTAGCAGCACCTCTGGCTTCTACTTACTGGTTATCAGTAGCACCTTTGCCTCCTACACTTGTGACTTTAAAAAATGTCTATAAACATTACCAAATGTGCTTCCCCATAGGAAGTAAACTTCTTCCATTTGACAACCAGTACTTTATATTAATGTGGAATTTTTTACTCTGGAATTTAGAGAGGAAATGCCCATGATTTAGAGTCAGTTGTGTTTGAATACTGCTTATTACTAGTTGTTTCATTTAATTTCATATTGCTAATGCTTAAAGTAGGAATAAAAATACCTAGTTTACAGGGAATATTGAAAGATTTTAGAGATAAGATTACTATAATAAAAATTCTTATTTATTTCTCGTAGCTGAAATGTTGATAATGAACCACAGGCTCTCAGAAAATTGAGATTGCAATAAAATATACTAAATGAAATTACTAAGTATAACTTAATGCCTTTAATTTAGACCATATTTTAATTATGTAGCTCTAAAGACCAGATGGTATTTGATTAATTAAACAATGAATAGCAGTCCTGATTAAATTACAACAACATTCAACACAGTAGTTTGTTATTAAATAAAAATGGTCCAGTTTATATACAAGGCATAATCAAATGTAATTTTACAATGCAGTAATGGCAACAGTGAAAAGATTGGTTGAGTCCTAGAAACTAAGCTTAGATTCTTTTTTGGCTGATATTTCCAAATATAAATGAATCTATTGTTATTTAGATGATTTTTAAATTCTTTTAATTATTTATAGGGAAAAAACTTCTGCCCTAAGGTAACTGCAAGGAAAGAAGGTGTTAGGTTCTCCTTGTTGATAGTTAAGAATTTCTGAACCTGATGAAAAGCAAAGAAACCCCATGTTGTAATCGGAGTCTTAAGTTCTTGATGAATGTTTTCTGTACTGCCTAGCAGTGACAATTCTAGCTCTGTAATACAAAGTGGGAGAGGTGGAAGAAGATACAGAAAATTTTAGTTTGCTGCTAATCCCCAGTGAAGTGTTAGAGGCCATCATGATCTTGTCTTTTCCCTAAGTCATTCTCTCCAGTCCTAGTAATTGTCTTAAAATGTAAACACGATCATATTAAAAACCAGGTTATTGTAACATGACACAGCAGGCTTCTCACAATTCTTGACATTTCTCTATAATTTATTTTCTCCATAGCTCTACATAATAGTGCCTTTATAGTGAGTCATATTTGGGTAGCCTTTTTGAATGTGGCCTTTCACAGCCTCCTTGTTTGCTTTGCCCATGCATATTTACCCTGCAAATGTTAAATTCAAGCACTTATCTCCTTTTGAGTAATTTTTTGTGATTCAACCCCTGCTTTTCACGCACAGAACTAAATTAAGGCTACTTATGAAGCCCTCCCCATTGCCAGTATTGGTCTTTTATGACACAAATCCTTTGGGTTTCTAATTGTCCCACATACTTAAGGCCTGAGGTGGTTTACGTACCTCAGTCACCACAGCAGATGACTTACAAATTGCTCAGTAAATGCTTAATGGAGATTTAGTAAGGAAACTGGGCACAGGGAAAGGTATTAAGTATGTGTCCTACGGTTAGCAAGATACCTGGTTGGGTCTCCTGTAAATGGGACATGAAGAAAAGTTTATGTATAGAGAGAGGAAGTGTAAGACTTGAATAGGCTAAAGTGACTCCATGCTAATAGGCCAGACTGTGCTTCTTCATATGCTAATTGCTACCTTGGTTAACAGCCCACCCAGGGGCAAATGGTTTGACAAAAGGTGACCCTAGAACATTTCCTGCATAAGATAAGCAATGTGTTTGCAGTCTTGTTCTGTGAATTCCCTGACTCTTTGTTTAGAAAAACCTTATAAAAAGTACCTCAGCCCCTGAGCAGTTGCCTCTCTCAGCCACCTGGCTCCGGGAGTGCCATCTGGCCAGACTAATAAAGGTCTCTTTACCATCTAGGCTGGTGTGTTCCTTCCTGGGTTTCTCGGTTCTCTGTCGTGTTCCCGGAGCCTCGCTGGGTGTTAGGGCCCAGCATCGTGGAGGCCTTTCGGCTGTTCACGCTCCGTGGAGTGGAAGTGAGACTTTAGGTCTTACAGAAGGCTACACTTGGATTAAAAAATTAACTTGCTTGAAAAAGAATGAGGTGACCTGACTCAAAAAGAGCTATCATTAAATCAAAATTACTGTAAAAATCTAGAGAATCTTAAACAAATTCCTAAAGCCCTCACGTATTCAACTGAGTAGGTCTGGGGTGAATGAATATCAATTTTGATAATCCAATTAAACCCTTTTCAGATGACTGATTTCAGTAATTGACCTGGGGGGAAAAATCATAAACAAAAATTTGGTGTGTCTGAAAAATGTATATCCTTAAATGTTTGCTTGGTTTTGTTGTAAGATTTCTTACTATCAAAACTTAAAGATAGTTGTTTTGACACTGAAAATACCATTTCTTTTCCTTTTTTTTTTGGTATGGGGGATAGAACCCGGGTCCTTGTGCTTGCGAAGAAGGCGGTAGAACCACTGAGCTAAATCCCCAGCCCAAAACACCACATCTTAACAAAATTCAATTCTTTTCAAATTCGATGTGTGACCAGAATTCGGAAAGAATTAAGTTTATGAACCAAGGCACCGCTGAACTATTTAGTCCTATATGACATGAATGGCAAATTTCCCCTCAGGTTATCATTTGTTACTAGCTGTTTATGATTTTGCCTTTTACAGACATGTAACCCTCATCTTTCCTAAATCCTACCACCGAAGAAGCCATCTCCAAACCATTCTGGTTTAACCTGACCTGTCCCTTCTTGATATTGTCTCTTCTAAGCATGTGCCATACTTCTTAAAGGTACAATGTCTTTACAATTAAATGTTCAGCAGTGATCGCAGCAGCTCTGGTTGTGTTCACCTTAAGCCACTGTCACATGAATCCTCATCACGGTGTGCTTCTCATTGACTTACCTGGTTTGTTCAAGGTGCTGGAATTTTTACCCAAAAGTTTTATGGAATCAGTGCAAACTAAACTAATGAAGAACATGAGTTACCTTTTATTTGAAAATAAGACGTAGCCAGGTAATGTGCTAGGACAGCTGTCACACACTATTTCAAGTTGAATATTGGTTGCTGGCACTGTTATTTTTTATTTTTTACTAAGAACATTTCTAGGAAACCGAATGACCTTGCAATTCTGGGAGGGAGGACGGTATGATAGAGAAGGGCCAGTGGATGCAATTTGTAAATGCTGGAAAATCACAGTTCTCCAACATTCACATTTTAATCAATGGGGACATTTTATATGTTCACAGAAACAGCAACATAAAATTAAATAATTACATGAGTGGGAATGAAATCCCTCCTCTGCCAGCTAAAGGGTACTATCTGCTATGTTTAGGACAACAAGGTAAAGGTGCATTTAACAAGGCTTCATGAACATGTTTGTATAAGTTTGACTTATATTTCTTGTTATGAGCAAAGACATGTTATAATTAAATGGAAAAAATTTACATAGCATTTCAAGCTTTACACACACAAATTTTTTTTTTTTTTAAACTGTACTAGTTTCATCCCAGGAGTGCTCTACCATCCGTGGTACTTTTAGCTTTTTGAGACATGATTCTGTGAAATTGCCAGGCTGGGCTCAATGTTGCAGTCCTGCATCAGCCTCCTGAGCCCAGGCCAAAAGTTACTTTAAATGTTAAATTTTTAAAAAATTTAAAATGTCTATAATGCTTACAGGAGAGATATGCCAAATTTTAAGATAAATTTAGGGTGGTAATTTTTAAAATTTTCTGCATTGTATAGGTATTACTTTTGCATATCATGCACTTTAATACTGAAGTAACACTTGAAACAGCATCATTTCATAGAAGGTAGCTACTGACGAGGTTTAGAATTTATTCTGCTATGCGGGCATTTAGCAAATGAGCCCATTGCAATGATTAAGTACTCAAATGTTAAAGAAATACAAGTAGAGTCCTGTCTTCCTATTAACTATAAAAAAGAATTTAAAAATTCAGCAGTATCCTAAAGTATCAGAGGAGATTCCTTTTTGAACCCTTTCTGTGAACAATTTAGAAAAGCAATCAAACATCTCTTTATGATCTAGTCTTATCTCTGTTAAAATATCTTATAATAGATCCTGGGGCAGAACTGTAGGACTGCTCACGGGTATGGCATTTCACATAGAAAGTTCTTAGCCACCCTCTTGTCTGTGACTATGCTAGAAATATATCAGTTAGGGCCACAAGTCAGTGCTTTCAAGGCTGGCATAAACAAATGCTTTTCCCTTGCTTTTTCTGTGCTATCAACTTGGATGGAAAATACTTAGGCGCCCCTGTGATTTAAGATAAATGGAAGGATTCAGTTAGAAGCAGTAAGTATAATGGTTAAGTTTTGGATTTGGAGCTACTGATGCAAATCCTAGGTCAGCCACTGAGAAAATGAGTAATGATCTGTATGCTTCATTAATATATACATCAGATAAAGTTCTTACCTGACTGGTGCTACACTGTTAATAGGTGGTGATTTGTATTAAAGGTGTAGGTTGGGCTTATCTCACTTGTTTTGGTCTGTAGTAGTGATGTGAAGGTAGTCTATGGGAAAAGAGTATTGTAGCACAGGAGGCTAATGTAGGCTTCCTAATGTACTTGGACAGTTTAATTAAGGATGTGCAAATCTGAAAGTTCAAAGTGCAGCTAGAATAATAAAGCCAAAGCAAGGAACAATGGGGAAAGATGCTTATTTGATGAAAGATGGCATTTTTGAGGTAGGTTTGTTTATAAACCCAGATACAGATAAGTGGAATTCATTATGGAAGATATAGTAACAAAAGTATTAGTACACAATGCCCTATGCTAATACGGTTCAATAGCATTTTATGAAAACAAAACAAAACAATAGAAATTTTCTGATTTTTCCAGGGACACATGGAACAGAATCCAGGATTCCTGGGCTACTGTTTTAAGAACCCTGAGTCTTTTCAACCAGCCCCTGAGAGAACTATGACATTTCTCATGGTTACACCAGCCAGAGAGAAGAACAGAATGAGCAGCTTTTTTTTTTTTTTTTTTTTTTTTAAGTGCTGGAAATCAAAGTCAGGACCTTGACGTTTGCAAGGCAGGTGCAGTGCCACTGAGCTAAAGCCCCGGCCCACAGCTGACTCTTCTAAGTAGTGACCTCCCTTTCCCTGTCTGAAACGTGGTTGCCATTGTTCTGGGCACATTGCATGTAGGGAGCTCTGGATTCTTCTGTTTCTTATAGTGGCTCAATGGGGTAATGTGCTTGATAAGAGTAAGCTTTGTTTATGCTGTGATTACATAAATTAAGTACATAGTATACATTCACAATATTAAATATGGTGAAGAAAATAAAAATCATTCTATGGCTATGAATGTAGGTTAGTGGTAGAATGCTTGTGTAACACATAGGGCTCTGGGTTTGGTCCCTGGCACTTGTGTGTATGGGAATCTAGTTCTGTTAGCATAGTGCTTCAAAAGTATAGTAGGTTTTTACTTTACTGCAAAGAAAGCAAACTTTAAATGAGGATTCATACACCATGGATGCAAATTATAGAGAAAACAACATGCAGCAAAAGACCTACATTTTCAGATTTTTTTTTTTTTTTTTTTTTTTGGTGGTGGTATTGGAGAGTGAACCCAGTGCCTTGTACTTTTGGTTTCAATCAGTATATTTTATCATCACTTCCTTAGAAAAAGTTCTTGATGGATGATTGATAAACTGCACGAGCACGATTTTTTGTGGTTTAATGAATCAATTACATTGTCTATTTTTATATTGAATTTTATAACTTTAATTGACTCTAAAAAGTGTATTTTCTGTATATTTTTGTGTGTAAATGCAGTTAGTTCTGTCATGCAATTAGCTTGTCCGTTTATTTCTGTACCTTACAGGAATACTCCTCAGCTGAGTGTCACAGCACATGCCTATAATCTCGGTACTCTGGGAGGCTGAGGCAGGAAGCTCACAAGCCCATCCTAGGTACTTGGCAACTTAGAGCCTATTTAATTTTAAATAAAATGCCCCATGGATTTCTCAAGTTCCCAGTAACATGGGGCGGGGTGCACTCTTCACCATCAGTCATCACACATTGGTGTACACTGAGATACTTAATGAAAAGACTTTTCAAAAGAGATCTGTAGCATACTAATGCAAAAATTAAAAAAAAAATGTACATAACTTGAAATATTTTAGAAAAAATCAGTGGAATAAGAAAATACTCCAGATTTTAAAATCCTGACCATAAAATTAGTATTTTTCATATCATAATACAATAGTATTGGAGTATAGAAATAAAAGGTCCTCTAGTGACTGCATCTGCTGAAAGGATGATAGGTGATTTTGATTGTCTTACTGTTGTATTTTTTTTCCTAAATCAACAGTACTACTTTTATAAAAGAAAAATAGAGTTGAGAATGTTGGCACATGCCTATACTGCCAGCACTCAGGAGGTTGAGGCAGGATTGTTGCGAGTTAGAGGTCAGCCTGGGCTGCATAGTGAGTTCAAGGCCAGCCTGAATACACAGCAAGACCCTATTTCAAGAACAAAAACAAAACCAAAACTAGAAAAAGAACTCTGATGCTTGTTGTATACAACTGGGATATGCTTAAACTTTTCCATTACTCATAACAGTGTGTACATGTAAAACCACAGGAAAATTAGTATTTTAGACTATGAACACTAATACTTTTCATATAGAAGAGATATTATTTCCAACTTTTAGCTTTGTAGTTGGAAAACAACATCTGATGCCCTCTTGTGGCCAATATTTATGTAGTGGGTGTGATTTATTCCTTTTCATTGACATCAGGCTTAGACTAATACAAAATTTTTATTTTATTTCCTACATGATAAAAAGTAATGTTCCTACATAATTAACAGTTTAGATGTAACCACTACCAACATTTTAAGGCCAGTATTTGCAATTTTCTAGCTCCTAGAAGCATGTATTCTAGAATTCCAGTGCTTGGGTTTAAAGCCTGATAAGAGTCCCTGGGGCAATGTGTTTGAGTACTGAATTTCCTCATTTGTAAAGTGAAGACATACTAGAATGTGCAGAGTCTTATTACATAGAAAGTCCAGTTCTTACTTCTCATTTTTGCTAGGTAGAATGCTTAATACACCTGTGTACATTAGTATTGTAACATCCTGTGATAATCTAGATGAGTTCTATTTGTCATTTTTATGTGCATTTTCCGCCTTCATACACTTTATGTAAATAAAATATATGGGATATTTGATACTTGCCAAATACTGCATCATCTCGTTTGATTTTAAATAAACTTAAGTTCTATTATTTTCACCTTTTATACATATATTTTATACTTATATTATACTTATATTTCTACCCCTAACCTAAAATGTCATAGCCATCTTTTCAGGATACATAGATCAATCTTTTATTGGCTCCATACCCTTACACATATGAATGAAATGTAATCTTTAATTATTGAAATAATGCTGCAATAACACATTTTGAACATTTACTTTTCCATCTTTGTGGAATACTGTTAGGCTATTATCAGTGAGGTGTAATATTTGTATTTGCTAAAAATCCACTGAATTTAAGTGCTTTTTTACTTATTTTTCTTTTTTAAGTGCTTTTAAAGAATTTTCTTACCCCTCTACTTACAAAGTAGACTATAAAGTAACTATAAAAATCTAAAGATTAAAATGTACAATGTAAAAAATAAAAGTGTCTAGACTTGTCTCCCTTCCCTTGCCTCTGATATTAACTATGAACACTGGGTATTCATTTTTTAAACAATATTGACATCATTCCAGAAATAACATTTTAATTTTTGCATTTTCAATGATTTGTTTTCTATCATTATAAGTTGATCTAACTTTTTTATGGTTTCATGATATTTTCTACATATTTCCTTGAGAATATGTTCAAATTTTGTTATCTCATGTTGTTTTCTTTAATCCAAAGAAAATTTTCAACAAATACTTTTATATACACACTTATTCCCTTATTTGAGTATTTATGTAGATAAATTTGTAGAAGTACAGTTCTTTGGTCAAAGACTATACATTTCAAGAAAGTATAACTGCCCTTCAAAAAGGTTACATACCTTTAAATCTCAATTATTAAGAGAGTATCTTACTTCCCCATACCCTTTATCAATAGTATTAATATGCTTTTAAATATTTTTCATGGATACACAAAAAATACAAAAATTCTACATATTTCTGAGGCACGTGATGCTTTGATACATGTATACTTTGTGTAATGTTTAAACAAGGAGCATTAATTTTATGATCAAGATAAATCTTTTAATTTAACTTACTTGTGAAGTTGATACATTTAATGGCCACAAATGTGTTATGTACAGAAATGATACATTAAAAATCTAACATGGTTATAAATGCTTTTCACCTATATTTAAAAGTTTTATGTAAGCATATATGTACAAATATAACACTAGTTTTTTAGCCATATTATGGTTAATGAAATCCTAATGGTATAATATTAAACAATAATTTCCTTTAACTTTCATAAAAGTCCTTTCTATAGTCAGCTATTCCTTTTTTGAAGATAGAAACAAACTTGACTTTTTCTTTGTTCTGGTTATGTGATTTATGAAATAAACTTATCAAACCACTAATTTCAGTGATGCACCTGCTAAAAGTGCTAATGCTCTTGATAAGGATTAGATATTTCCATTTTGGCTCTTACAATATCCTTAAATTTGTGTGAAAGAACAAAGAAACCAGGAAGACAGCTTAACACTATTGGGAAGCAGGTAATAGTTTCTGCAATAAATAAAGTACACACATTTTATAAGTTTGTGTTTGTGTTGGCAACTTGTAAGTCAATGCCACAATGAGCTATCTGTAATGCAGATACTGTGATTCCCTGCAGCAGTATTAAATGCTTCATGCACTAGACTACAAATTCAAGGTATACAGAAAAATTTGACACAGGGAATATTAACATAGTATGCCATGATAAAATCACCAAATATTTGATAATAAAGTTAGACTGATAACCTTGTGCATTAGTACTAATTCTGTGTGATCTTTCCTTTTGACCAATTGGTAGTTTACGTTCTTACCCCACTCCTTCTGCACTGGGTTGTACTGTCTTTTGCCATTTGATTTATAATTCAAGCAAATAAGACAGCCACAAGTTACTAGTCCTCTTTTAAGAAATATCTGAATAGTTCCTAAAAATTAACTAACTCAACATACTTTGCTGTCCTGTTTTATCACTTAATCTTTATGGTTTGCCTTTTTCAAATATTGCTGATACTGAATCTTTTCATAAGGTTCAAGATTTGGTAGATTTTATATAACATAATTTACAAAATGAATCTCATGGAGTACAGATTTTTTAAAAAGCTTAGCTTATCTGTACATCAAGGCATTAACTGCTTAACATTCTGTGAGCCTAAGCATTGAGAGACCTTATATAAACTCGCATAATGGTAATCTGCCTCCTGGGGTTATTATAAGAAAGTATTGGCACATACAGTAAAAAATTTACTGTTTACATTTACCTGTCAAATGGATAGAATTGCAACTACTTTGCAAAATAAAATGTACAAGGTAGGTGCAACTTTTTTTCTCTTCTCAAATAAATTATAAAAAAACTGATAGCTGAATAAAAGTTAAGTGTAAATGCTTTATTCTTAGTTTGAAATCATTTACTTAAAAATTAAATCCCATAAGATATACTCAAAAGCAGAAATAAGCATTTTAGTATTGATGTAATAGAATTGACAAATTTGTTTTTCATTCATGTCTAAGTCGAAACTCTAAAACTTAGGGCTTTGAAGTCCTATCTATAAATATAAAAGCAAATGGCGAAATAAAACATATTATCTTCACGATGGGCATGGTAGTGCATAGCTGTAATCTCAGCACTTGAGGTTTTCAGATCGGAGTTTGAAGCCAGCCTCAGCTAGTTTGGGGCAAGCCTGGACTACAATGAGACTGTCCTAATGAGAACCTAAACCAAAGCCATTATGTACACTCATCATAAACCACCTTTGCTTCAAACAGCCTGATGTTTTCAAGCTGGAATTATGTGGCCATGTTTGTCATCATTTAGTGAAATCCTGATACTGAGTCTTAGTTCCTATTAAGGGTTTTGACAAATTTTTATATCTCATGATAACTATAATTTAAGGCCTAACTACTGAGAGACTGAATTTCATTAGAAAGACTAGAAAAGCCCTACTGATGAAAGCTTTACATAAAATTTTTTAAAATTTAGAATAAGGGGAAGAATAGTCAAAGAAGTCTCAGACCAGGGATTTAGCTCAGTAGTGCCGCCACCTGCCTCACAAGTACAAGGACCTGAGTTCATTCCCTGGTACCCGCCCCCCCAAAAAGACAGTCTTCACTGGTAGTCAAATTCAAAATTAGCATTTACCCCCGGGATCCTATCATTTAATTGTTAGCACTAATAAAGAAGAGATTTTGTCATAATTTGGAAGAATTTTCTGGTTACTAGGTATATCAAAAATAATGTCTTGAGAATGGCTATTATGCTTCTGATTTTCCCAGTGGCTTTACAATGTGCAACACAGGCAGATTAACAGAACAAATGCTATTAACAGTGACATTATAAATACTTGAAATTTTCCAACTTCACACCAATTTGCCCTTAAGTCTTATCATCATAGAACTCCAGGACCCATAGGGGAACAGTGCAATGAATGAGTTAAATGTTTAATCTTTTTGTTGCTACTGGGCATTGAACTCAGGTTCTTGCGCTTGCAGGGTAGGCAGCGGAACCACTGAGCTAAATCCTTGGCCCTAAACTTGTTTAATCTTAAAACTCTCTTCTGATGTCAATTATTACTAAGAAAAAAGGGTTAAGGGAGAAAAGTGGACACTGCATTATAGTTTAGAAAAAATGTTAGTGTTGTATTGACATTGCTTGTCAGTATAGCAATAACAGTAAAACTAGTCTCTATGGTTTCAAAATGAATCCCACCTCCAAATTAATTTCCCAATCAAACTGCAAACACTAAATTCTTCTGTAAAAGCTGGCTTCATTGTTTCATACCACTGAGCTATATTTGATTTTTTCCCTTTTCTGTGTTCTACACTTCAATAGTACTTATTTTTAAAAATGACAGAAATTTTTGGAATAGTCAAAGCCATTCAAAGAGGTATTAGCAAGTTGTGGCTTCCTTGAAAAACAACAATTTTAAGATAAAAAAAACTTACCTTTCAAAAAAATAGGCAAACGCTTATGTTTCTCTTTTTTTCTTTTTGTAGTTCAAACACACTTACAAGACTGATGGGATTACTGTGGTGTAAGTGTGAAGGACTGCTGAAGAATCTGAAGTATTGTACAATTTGACTTTAATTTATACCTCTAGTAGACACTGAACTGTTTCTTTTTTTTTACATCACAAGTCACAAGATTAGAGTGGCTATTAAGAACATTTCTGCTTTATGTAATGACTTAAGACATTTAAGTCACATGTGTCAAATTATGATGGGTCAAATTCTTGATTAGAAAAATATATGGTCACTTTGATAGTTAAAAGATACTATATTTATATTTTCAATTAGCTGTCATTAATAAATTTTAGACTTTTTAACATGTATATTTTGGTATGTGGCCTTTGGGAAGGTATGGTTAATAAAGTTAATTTTTAAAAATGAAACTTTGGAATTCTTATTCTCTGAGTATGAGATAAAATATCCCTTTTGCCTTTTCTCCTTTCCTTTTTAAGCACAGAATAAAATCAAGCATTGTCATGCCTCAAACTACTTTTTATTTGCAACTACATGATCTCACAATTTTTCTAAATAACATAAAATAGATTTTCTTGTATTATAAATAACTTACTCTCCATAAAGTAAATGTTTAAAGGTGCTAGCACAGATCATCCACTCCTACAGTGTATTTGTATTTAACAGAGTTGATGCACAATATATATAAATACTCAAGTCCAATATTAAAAACTCAGGCACTTGACTAATAAAGTTTCTCAAACTATATCAATATATCTAAAGTGCATATATATGTTTTATTTAAGAAAGATTATTCTCAATAACTTCTCTATAAAAATAAGTTTGATGGTTTGATTCATCTAACTCCACTACTATGAATATGAACTTTTAATATGCAGTAGGGTATAATCTACCCCTTTTTTCAATATGACAAGAGAATCAAAAGGAGCTAGTGAGGTGCTAACATGTGAGGATTAATCCAGTGATTCCGGTCACAATGCATTCCAGGAGGAGGTACCCAAGTCACTGGAACTGAGCGATAAGGTTTATTCTTCCTTCCCTGATTTGGATAACCAAATGGAACCGGAGGAGGGTAGTGACTCTGATGACCATTTCCTCGGTACATTCCTGGCTTTTTCCTTGGCAAAGGCTGCCACACTGGAAGAGGTGGGAATATCAGTTCTGAAATCTATAAGCAAGAAAAAACATTAAGTTAATTCAAATGAAAATTAGTAACATGTCCAATGTTGACTAGATGACCTTCTAGATTTCTCATTAAAGAGAAAATCAGCCTCAATCTTCTCAAAGTAGGTCTAAGAGACATTCCTATGGTTAAATATAAATATTTAAAAATCTCATTAATAGTAGCGGAAAAATACTTTTTGAGTGAAGAACTGAATGAACTAAAACATGGAAGGGAGGGCACGGGAATGAAGAAAAATATAAGAACCAAGATGTATCATGTAAAGGTACAAATTCCCAATGATGAATGCCATCATATTGTGTACTTAAAATGTACCAATAAATTTAATGAATTTAAAAAAATATATATATCTAAGACAACTTTACCCAGAAAAGGTCATAACATGGAATGAATGAAAGCTTAGAAGAACATACAATGTTTTACACAATGGTTTCCACAAGCTAAGCAAGGAGTCATTTTGGGACCTATTAAACACAGTAACATTTACGCCTGTCCTGGGTGTACTGAACAACACAATCTTTGGAATAAAGGCCAGGTATTGTGACAAAGCCCTCCAGATCATTCAGTTGTAGCCAGTTTAGTGTTCAAGAACAACAATCTTAGATTATTCCCTAAGGTAAACTCATCAAGCTCACATCTTTATAAAGGTTCTTATCAGCAGTCTCTGGACCTCTCACAATGCCCTACTTTGTGAGTTGTCTACTGTACCCTACTTTTTCCAGGTTGGCTTTACAAACATATATTTTCATTTTTCTTGATAAATACTTAGAATTGCTGCCTATTTGAGATGCTTATTTACCTTTTAAGGTGCATTTTTTTTTTTTTTTGGTACTGGGGATCAAACTCGGGACCTGGTGCTTGCAAGGCAGGCAGCAGCACCACTGAGCTAAATCCCTGGCCCTAAAGGTACATTTTTGAAAGTGGTTGTACTATTTACATTCCCAATAGTGATTTATAAAGTCTAGCTGCTTCACATCTTTGCCAACATTTGGTGTTGTGAGGGCCATGTATTTAGCTCAGTGGCACTGTGCCTGCCTCGAAAGAGCAAGGTCTTGAGTTTGATCCCAGCAACCGCCCCCCTAATATTGTCAAGATTTTTAATTTGAAGCCGGGCGTGGTGGCGCACGCCTATAATCCTAGCACTTGGGAGGCTGAGGCAGGAAGATCGCTGTGAGTTCCAGACCAGCCTGGGCTACATAGTGAGTTCCAGGTCAGCCTCAACTACATAGTGAGACACTGTCTTAAAAAAAAAAAAAAAAAAAAAAGATTTTCAATTTGGAAGAAGTAATGTTTCATTGTGGTTTTAATTTGCATTTGCCTGACAATGAATGAAGCTGAACACCTTTCCATGGCTACCAGGTTACGTATGCAACTTTGTTTGAACAGCACTTACACACGTTTGCCTGTTATTTTATTTATTTATTTATTTATTTATTTATTTATTTATTTATTTATTTATTTGATTTTGGTTTTTTGAGACAGGGTCTCACTATGTAGTTGAGACTGACCTGGAATTCACTATGTAGCCCAGGCTGGTCTTGAACTCACAGCGATCCTCCTGCCTTAGCCTCCCCAGTGCTGGAATTACAGGCATGCGCCACCACGCATGGCTTGCCTATTATTTTAAATTGGGTTATTTTGCTATCATTTTGTAGGAGTGATTGTTAAAGAATATTCTGGAGACAAGCTCTTTAGGAATTCATGCCGTATTTTGTCCCAGTCTATGGTTTGCATTGTCTTCGTAGTAGTTTCTTTTGGTGAGCAGAGATTAAAAAAAAAAAGAAAAAATTAAATTTTGATCAAGCTGAATTTATGAGTTCTTTTTCTGTTACTGCTTTTCATGACCCCCCAAAATCTGCCTATTTCAAGATATTATAGACACTTCCTTGTTGAAGATTTACCTTTTATGTTTAGGTCAATGATCCTTTCAAATAATTTTTTATGTATTTGCTATCAGGTAGCAGCAATTCTATTTTTCTCCCTTCTATATAGTAAGAAATGTTGAAAATACAGTACAAATGCATGCTGAATTTAAAAATGTATTTTCTTACATTCAAAATTTCAATACTGTGCCTATTATTCTTTAGGTCTAAATATTCATTTTAGTTCAACTCTAAACCTACCATAAATGTGGAATGTTAAATTATGTTTAAGACAAATTTACAAAAATAAGTACTTAAATTTTTTCAAAATTAGAAATAAGTACATGTACAGAATATAGCTCAACTCAAAAGATCTCTATAAATAAAATCTTCAGACTTAAAAAATGTTTTTTTCTTCTGCTGAAGAATACTGGTCAAGATTTTTTAAAAAGTATATTGTGGCTGGTTGTGGTGGCAAATGCCCATAATCCCAGCATTTGGGAGGTTGAAGCCAGCTTGGACTACACAGTGAGTTCAAGGACGGCCTAAATTATATAGCAAGAACCTGTCTCAAAAAACCAAAATTAAAACCAAAACCAAAAGTAAGTATAATTGTGATTTTTTTTTATATACAGGCATAATTTGGTGAAATTTCTTTTTAATAATGAAAAAGGGAAAAAAATAATGGAAAGTGAAAGAATAAGAAAATTAAAACCAAAGATATGCACTGAAGTGTTAAATACTACAAAAAGTGGCAGTTTTTAAATAAAACAAGGAATCTAAAGTTATTAGGAATATTAACATGACTTTGGGGGACACATTCTTTGAAATATCTTTATCCTAGTTATTGTGTAATGAAACAGACCTCTGATAAAGTGACTCATGATGCCAATTTACATCTCAGAGAAGGACCTTTTCCCTTACTCCCTTTAATACAAGGCCATTTCATAGTTACCTGGTACACAGGGCTTGGGGTTGCAGTCAGTGGACTGGGTTTTATTTCTACTTCCTTACTTGTTTCTTCATCTGAAGAAGAGGACCCTGAATGATAATCAGAGGTGACCTTATCAAGGGCTCTAGTAACTTTCTTGGAGATATCATCTTTGTTCTCATCTTCATTTTCAAAGCTGGCAACAATGAATGCATTGTTTTTCTCTCCATACCTAAGTGTACATAAAAAATGTATAAATCTGTAAGTCACACCAACAAACCAAGTACTGTAACCATAAATATAATTAAATAGATCTGGACATGCCAACCAAGGTAATAAAGGAACCATCCCTGAACATTTACTATCCTAATAACCTAATCCAGCTCCATGCCAGCAAACAGGCTATAATTTTCTACTTCAGGTCTGTTTAAGTACAAATAAAAGTGATCACATTTTCTTTCTCAACTGAACTTACTATGTTGTCCAGGCTGGCTTCAAATTTGTGGTGATCCTCCTGCCTCAACCTCCTGAGTTCTGAGATTACATGTGCCACCATGGCTGGCCAACTACTAGCAATAGCAATTCTTAATATAAAATGCAGAGAGCAGTTGGATACATTGCTCACACCACAGAATTCATGTCAATCATACACACACACACACACACACATACATACACACATAAACACACACCCATATGTTCAAGTTTATTTAGCACAAGGTTTTAGCAACAGAAATTTATCCCCATATCCATGCTTTAAAGGTTTAAAAAAGTGTGACATGAGAGTTAATTCTTTCGGGTTGGGGATTTAGCTCAGTGGTGTCACACCTGCCTCACAAGCGCAAGGTCCTGAGTTCTATCCCTGGTACCAGAAAAAAAAAGTTAACTCTCAATAATATTAACACAGGTTTAGATATATCTTCAGTTTTGCCATTAAGGAGTCAGAATTCAAGCAAAACAAAAAGGCAAGAAGTCTGAAAAAGTCCTTGCCTTTGTAGAAATAGAAATCTAAACCAAGGTTATATGTTCAATGATTGAAAGATCAGCCTTATTAACTCAGATTTCTTCCTTCTCTCACCATCTCCCTTCTTCCTGCCCTGCAATACTAGGAATTGAACCTAAGGTCTTTGCATGAGCTATATTCCCCACTGAAATTTAGACAGGGTCTTGTTCAGTTGCCCAGGCTGGGATTGAACTTGGGATCTTTCTATCTCAGACACACCTGGCTTAACTCAGATTTCTTTGACAACTAACATTTCTTTTGTAATACTGTAGCATGAGAGCTTCCTTGATGGTAAGCTGAGCTGCTGATCCTACTAAGGTGACATTGAAATGTTCAGTTAATTCCTGAATTAGTAAAGGACAACTCTTAAAACTTTATTTTCAAATAATGCACTGATAAAACACCATGGCTAATTTAGTCAGTATGAAACAAATTGTTATCTAATGTTCTTTATTCAAAAAATATTGCATAAATTACTTTAAAAGTTATGATATATGTTGATAGGTAATACTCCCAGCAATTCTTGGACTTTCTCATCTTAGGAAAGACCTGTTAATCTGCATCCTCAAATATTTCACTAAGTTATAACCTTTGTAATTATATGGTATTCTTTGTACTCACCTAGCATTTTATTCTGATAGAGTAACTAAAAACTATGAAGAATGTTCTCTGAGTGCTACTCAATTTCTTTTACAACCTTAGTTTCTAATGCACCAATGAGTTAAGACTCTGAGATATTTGTTCAGCATGTAACTACTATATCAGCATTGTTTTAATTTCCAGAACATTTATCTTTCTAGTTTTGGTTCAAAATCATTTCTCAGTATTACACGTCTTCTATTAATCATCTTTACTCAAATGCTAATGTCTCTTTTTTGGGTTCTATTATTACTGAATGATCAACCTACATCCTGAAGGTTACTTCTGTTAGATGTGGAAAAAATAAATCATAGGCAATTTTTGAAAAATTTTAACCATCAATAAAACTATTATTATTATTTTTTTCTTTTGGTTTTTGAGACAGGGTCTCAGTATGTAGTTGAGACTGACCTGGAACTCACTATGTAGCCCAGGCTGGTCTCGAACTCACAGCAATCCTCCTGCCTCAGCCTCCCGAGTGCTGGGATTACAGGTGTGCGCCACCACGCCCAGCCATCAAAATTATTAGGCTACTAAATGCAAAAATTTTCCTGAAATTAACAAGATGAAAGCATAGCAGTGTTTTTCATTATATAGCATCATCAAGCAATAAAGTATACACTTAAGTAGAATGTCCAAATAACTATAGTTTTTATCTTCTGGTGTCAAGACTTATTTTAAGCATTTAAAATAAGTATGTCCAAAATGTTTATCCAATTACCAGATTTCTTAAACATCTCCAGATATAAAAACTTTTCCCTGATTTAGATATTAAGTAACTACAGAATATTGCTTCTATTTGAAAATTCCACAACTAAGAGTAGCTAGTCTGTTTTCTGAACAAGTCGATTTCAAACAGAATTCATACCTAGCACGCACCTTTTACATTTATGTGAGATAAAAGAAGTAATCTCCATTATGTAAACGAAAAGTGAAAATATCAGTCATGTGAAAACCAAATAGGGGAGCAGTAGAGACAAAGACCAATCAAAAGTTACTGTGCACTGTTAGCTTGAAGTAGTTTCTTTCTTAACTTGAGAAATTATCCCACCAGTGAAAGATAGTAATTGACTTAGAAAAATCTAAGTATCTAAGTTTTATTTCTTGGTCTATGATAAAATTTTTGGTAAAGTACTAGGAAATCCCTGTCCAATCAGATTCTCAATTTCTTTAGCTCTAAAGTACGAATGTAACAAGTACTCCATAAAATTCATATCCAGAAGCCAAACCACCCGCCATAAATACAGATAGGCCTTACAGGAGAAAATTTAGCAAAATCAGTTTAGTACCAAATGTGAGAACTCACCGGCAACACACCTCACATGGGTCCACCCAGAGAGTGAGCTCTTTGGGCAAGCCAAGGTCACTGTACAAGATGCAGCTGTTCTCACAGGCTTTTAAGACATCAGGATCAACTCTTTGAAACTTATTGACACGAATGCATCTATAACAAAGTGAAGTTACATTAATGAATTTAATAGAATCTTAATAGCAAACCTTTTGTACCAATTGCCAAAGTGAATAATTTAAAAATGAAGTATCTTTTTTTCCTTTTTATTGAGTTTATTGGTACATTTTAGGTATACAGTAGTTACATTCATTATTGGGATCTTGTACCTTTACATGACAGGTCTTGGTTCTCATTTTTTCCCCTTGTCCCTGCCCTCCCTTCACCCGCTCCTCTCCTCCCCATTTACAAACACTTTATTTCCATTTTTTAATTTTCTCATATTTTTTTATTTTCCCTTATTCCCTTTCCCCTACCCTTCCCATTTTCCCTATACCTTTAGCCCTTTGCTTCCTATTTCACATAGTTAATTATCCCATTAGGATCTTGTGTACTACTATAGTTTTTCACACCAGAGAAACTATTAGGTATTTACACGTGTGATTTATTTATTTCACTTAGGAGTATATCCTCAAAATGTATCCATTTTCCTATGAATGAATCTAATTTCTCATTCTTTATGGCTGAGTAGTATTCCAAAAAAATGAAGTATCTTGATGAAGAACCCAGAAGAACATTTATCTTAGCTAATGAATGTGAACTACAAGCTAGAAGGCAGCATCAAGGCTGTCCTGTCAAGGCCTGGGGATTTAGCTCAGTGGTTCTACCGCCTGCCTCATAAGCGCAAATCCCGAATTCGATCCCCATACCCACCCCCCAAAAAAGACTGCCTAGTCTGATGAAAATGCACATATATGAGCCCAGAGTAATCACTATAACTGGTTCCACTTCTGTTTACCCAGACTACTTGACTGCAAAAATACATTAGATATGCACAGAGTATATGAAAGCTTCATAAAATTATTTGTATTTCTAAAGGTACAGTTTTTGTAGGCTAATTCCTTATATAACAAAAGACCTCAACCAATGTTTCCAAATGATACTTGGAAAGTCTTCGGACTTTTTAATGTCATGAATTTGTTTTAACATTCCAGATAATATATAAGTGATGAGAGGGCACTATGTGCCTCATCTGTAATATGAAAAAATACAGTCAAGTGCATAGAACCACCTGTATATTTATAATTAAGATATAATCTTTAATTATGGGGTTATTGCATAGAATTGTTATCCAAGGATCAACTAAAATATTGCCAAAATAAATAAGAAAAATGTCTAAATGAAACTAAGAGCCTCTGATTCATTTTTTTTTTTTTTAGTCTAAGAAATACCACATTTACCAACAGAATGGTCAAAGATGGCTACTATAGTGAATGAAAAAACACATACTAAAACAAGCATTCCACTCAAGTAGGGAAAAGGTAGCTACAGTAGAAAATTTTGCCTATAATCCAGAACTAATAAAGAGAACCTAGTTTGTTAGGAATAGTCCTAGTACTTATTTATTGGATGAACTTAGAATAAATCTATTCAGATCTGAAGCTATAAGGCAACACAAATTAACTGACAATTATGAATTGTAACATAAAATTCAATCCTATCAAGAACAATGTGATACTTATTTTTTTTTTTTTTTTTTTTTTTTTTTTTTTTTTTGGTACCAGGGATCAAACTCAGGACCCTGTGCTTGAAAGGCAGATGGTGGCACCACCGAGTTAAATCTCCAGCCCCTGCTACTTAAGCTTTTTATTATTTGGTTTCAAGTTTCATTAAAAGAATGAAAAAGTTCTCGAAACAGCTAATTAATAAATGTTTGTAAAATGTAGTAACTGTAACAATTGCTTGAATGTTTACTATGAACTAGGCAGTTTCTTAAATGCTTGTTGCTCTTTTAATTTTCCTAATTGTTTTATGTGTCAAGTTGTAAGAAAAAAACAAGGGAGTGTTTGAGTAACTTGTCCAGCATCACACAAAAGAGTAGTCATAAATTTAGGAAACAAACCCATCCCACCAGACTCTACCTTCCTTATCAATAATTAGGGCGGAGGCTGTGGCATAGTAGTACAGTGCTTACCCGGCATGTGGAAAATCTCAGCTTTAATTTCTAGCATCACAGAACAAAAACAAAAACAAAAAAAACCCAGAACAATATCCTATTCTGTCTGTGCCAATCTCAACAACATTATTACAATATAGCAAATTTAGAGGGGAAACTTTTTAGTAAGATGCTGATTGATCCTTTTGTATAAAATGGAACTATGCTACAGATTTGAATGCTCTATTAGGTAATGCAAAATTCCATGTGCCAGTGTCACAAGCAGTCAAGAATGAGATAAATCTTATCCACGATGAGGGTAATGTGGCTCAAAGCTTAAAAATTATATATAAATGTAGATACCTAAACACAGACTTTGCTTCAAGAAATTCAGATACCTTATATATTTGTAAGTGATTTTTTCACTACACGCTGTGATGACATACACATTACTACTCTTCAAAAATAAGATTTTAAACATTGCCTAAAAATAGTCACTGACTTAATTTTGACACTTTAGTTCTTTCTAGTTTTAGCAATTACAAAGTATAAGAAACATTCATATTCATATGTATTTGCCTGAATTTGATTATGCTTCCAGAAGAGTCCTAAAAGACTTAATATTTAAAAGGCATGAATTTTAATATTGCCAAACTGACTTTCATAAGCATCTTATTTGTGTATTGTAAATATGTACAATAAGAAACAGTTTTTATTTATAAACTTGTTGGAAGAAAAAAATTATTCAACCTACTCTGAAGACACTTTTTTAATAACTCTAGTTTATTCTATAGTCTCATTTTTATAATAATTTTCTATTTCAAAGATAGCTCTAAAATGACCCAGTGATACTTCTGATCACATGTCATTTTAATCCTGTTTCACTAATTTTTTTCTCAAGTTTTTAGAATTAACGTAAATAAAACTGTACACTGTCTGACCTTTAAGCATTTACTTAACAATGCCTCTTTTTTCAGTAATAGTACAGTGGCTTAGCACTTCCAAAAGCCATCATCCAATGTCAATTAGATCAGTATAAAAAGCCTCATAAGTTCTAACTTGCATCTTCAGAAATGAAGACGTGCCGGAAAAAATGAACGGAATCAAGCAAGATGAGGAAAAAAAAATCACAAATCTATTTAACAGCCACATTTGTACTTTAACTGACACATTCCAAATTACTAGGAAAACTCTTTGGATAAAAATGAAGGAGGAAATACACTATCTTGGTTCTTTTCTTGTCAATAGAATACCAACTCATTTGACTTTTAGCAAATGAAAAACAAATCATATTTTTTGCTTCCCTCCTTAATAGTCCCACCTACACTTGCGAGAGCTCAGTGAGAGCAAGAAGTCCTTTTTTACATCAAAGCACAAAAGTGCTGATTTGTGGAGGAAACTTTGAGAACAAGAAACAAAAATTTCTGTAGATGTTACTAGTCACAACTGTTCTCTTATTTTTGTGGCCGCATCCAAAAATGGGTAAAGGTTTGACAAGCTAGGTTTCAGAGGAAGATTCTCAGCTCAGGTTCCTGAGCAGTTATATAAATACTAGGGAGTGAGCATGCCAGGACATGTTTTGTAGGAGCCTGCTCTTCCTTACTTCAAGCTGTTAATGCAACTTATAACCCAGACTGTAAAGGATAGCCACAAGTGAGAATTTTCTTCATTCTCAGAAGGCTGTGGTGTGTAAAAAAATTATTAGAATTTGGAGTCAGGGAGACTTGAATTTAAGTCCCAGAGCTAGTATTCACCAGTTATAGGTAATATCCATATGCACAGAGGCATGGTGGCATATTTGATGCCAGAGGGTCTGACAATGAATTATCTTTATCTATAATAGTTATCCTAGTTTCTACCACAAAGAATTATGCATAGTAGAAATGAAATTTTTTTCTTATTAGCATCAAGAACATATAAGTGTCTAATAATCTTGGTTTCCCTTCTCCATAAAACTTTTTCTTGAAAAAACACCCATGTAATTTACTTTTGGATACAAAACAACTCATTACCCTCAGTTTTCACCATTCCCATTTGAGTCACAAATCCTCCAGAACTGTGACCCCTCTAGTGCCTACGATATAGAGAAATATACTCAGGAGACAGATTGTAACTACAAAAGACTAACTTCTATGAGCCTATACAGCATTGCCTCCCAAGTCCAGGCAGTGCAACTCCACCAACAAATACTCACACTTTAAAATGAATTAAGAGAAAATAACTAGACCTCCCAAGATTGTGTATGTTGCAGATAAAGTCTTTACAAGCATCATCTGGATACTTGTTAGTCCCCTATCCTCACACACTTTACAGGAGTTGATCTGCCTCTTCATATAGCTCAATCCAACTTTGCAATTTAATCTTTTACCTGTAGGCCTGTCCTTTTGAAGGTTTTTCTGGATACCAGTGATTTTTGTATTTTTCTTGAAGTATTAGAGTCAATTTCTCAGCAAACCTCTCAACTGCCTCTTTTTTCAATTTATCATGTTTTCGAACAAGCCTTGTGAAAAAGAAGACAACAGCAGCAATTTCGTTCTTCATTTTTCCCTGCAAAGACAAAATAAATTTTCTCAAAAAAAAAAAAAATACATATATAAACTGAAAGATAAAAGTTCTGCAAAATATCCCTCCTCAGAGCTTCCCTTCCTCCTTCCACTTTATCTCATGTTTCACTGGCTCATATCTAGAGTTAGGGACAAATAATAATTTATGTTTATGTCATAAAGACATTATAAAACTTTATCACTTATCTTTGGGAGTAACTCAGTAGAGTTATCAAATTGTTCCTCTTGACTAAAATAAAAGCAAAATTTCTCTCAAAGAGAACCATTATAATGAAAGATGGCTTTCAATAAACATTTTCATATTTAGCTACAGTAATTAAATTCTATTAAATTATTCAGGGGCCAGAGATTTAGCTCAGTAGCACTGCATCTGCCTCACAAGCCCAAGGTCCTGAGTTTGATCCCTGGTACCAAAAAAAAAAAAATATATATATAGAACAAAAAGATCCACTTTAAAGTCTAGTATTGTAGAGCTATTTTGGAAAAGGTTAAACAGAGTTACCATATTATCCAGTAATTCTACTTCTCATTTATAGGCCCAAGCGAAATGAAAATATATGTCTAGACAAAAACATGTACAAAAATGTCCATAGTAGCATTATTCATGACAGCCAAAAAGTAGATAATTTCAAATGCTCACTAACTGAGAACAGACAGTGAGATCACACATTATGTCTATAAATATATGTAACAGAATATTATTTGGCAATTAAAAAAGAATGAAGTACCAGTACATGTTATAGCATAGGTGAAGTGTGAATATACTTTAAGGGAAAGAAGCCAGTCACAAAAAATTATATATTGCATGTCCTCACTCATACGAAATGTCTAGACTAGGCAAATCCATACAAAAAGAGAAGAGTTGTTTGGGGGCAGAAGGGATGTCAGAAATGAAGAAGTAATGCTAGAAAGTACAGGAATATTTTGGAGGGCAATGAAATTATTCTAAAAGTACGTAATAGCTGTACAACTGTAAATACATTAAGAGCATTTGTTTATTTTTAATGGTTGAGTTACATAGTATGTGAACCATTTCAATGAAACTTAACACATAAAAAAATTTCAGTACTGAATCTGTCAGTACACTTTCAGGAATAAAGATACACTTCTGTAAAAGATATATAAAAAAAGATACATCAAAATATAGATATATAAAAATATATATCAAAATATAGAGAATGGAAATTTTGGGTCACCCACAGAAAAACTAAAATGACCAGAAAGTTAGCTGCATTTTGGAATTGCCTCAAAAAACAACTTTTTAAAAAATGGAAGATCTGATTTGCCATTGATTAATCTATAAAGGCAAAAAACCTTGTCCTGGGGTTGTTTCAATATAGTCTTGTGTTTACTTGATGAGCTCATTCATTTGGCTCCTATAAGTAACTTGGAGTTGTTCAGATGCTTATTACCAAGAAATATCAACTTTTTGGAAGCCAATTATAAAAGATATACAGCTTAGTATAAAAATGTACTAAGCAATAGTTTGTATTTCTCTATTCAAAAAATAAAGCTAATTTTGTTAGCTTTTCCCCCCGAAACTGTTCTTTAAATCTCTCTTCATAATATGATTCTTTCTCTGCAAATTCAAGCAAGGGATTTCACTGTGAAATAAATTTTATGTAGTTATTTGAGAAGTGTGTTGGCAGCAATAACCACCTGATTCTGGATGGGAAGACACCCAAACCTTCCTTCTGGAACCCTAGAATGCCAAATTTACCTTTTACTGCTGGGCACGGATCATCACAGAACAATGTATGAGCGGGCACACATACTTTCCACTACAAATGCTGTACAACCTTATCCCAAAGAACATGCACCATTACCACTTTGTAAAGCTGCACTTATCCTCTACTATGGTATGATGGGAAAGAAAACCCACTGGAATTTAAGGTGCAGTTTGGGTAGAAAGCTGCTGATGGAACTAGGCTCTCCATTTCACTAAAGAAAACATGGAAACACACTAAGGAAATGTACTGAATCCTTAACTAAAATCATTCTCATTCATTAAATTTGCCAACTATGTGCTATGTATCAGTGTTGGGATTGCTTTTGTCTGCTCAATTCCCTATCAAAAATAAAAAGGAAGGAAGGAAAAAACAATTTAGTGGTTGCTTTTGCTTGTAATACAAGCATGAGTCATATGGACTTTATTTTTCTGTTTGAAGGAATCTGACTGGGATAGCAGAAAAACTAACCCATCCCAACTCCTACTCTAAGAGTATCAAAAGGTAAAAGAAGGAGCATTATTAGGAAGAGAGAAACCAGAAGCAAGCGGGGCTAGTAAGACCTTAGAGGCATCTTAAGTAGCCACAATCCTTCCACCCACACTGAAGAGCAAAAAGCTCCCATTTTAAATACTGTACGGTGACGTCATCCTGGGACGTCGTCACCGCTGCTGCTGCTCAAGTTAGTTCTACTTTGTTCCATAGTCTCCTCAGCGCCAGGCTGCGTGGACAAAACCAAAGGAAAACCAACTTTGCAGTTTCCCCTCCTTGGTAACGAAAGGCTGATTGCAGACGGTTCTATAAACATTATTCTTCTGATGGACGTCTCCCGGGTTGAGGGAGCAGGAAGGCTGGCCGCTGGGGTGATGAGCTCCGAGCCCCGGACTCAACTCGGCGGCGTCACAAAGCGGGATCCAGACCTGGAGGAGGGGAAGGATTTCCAAGGGGCCAGGAGTCTGACTTTCTGAAGCCATCAACATCAGCGGCTGAGCACTCCTGCCAGGGGTGCTGAGAGACCTAGGTGCGGAGCCACCAAACATCTCCACTCACTCTTGAGAGGACGGCCTGCAGGCTGTGCCCAACTTCTGCAATCCCGGTTTCCCCCAAGTTCAGGGAAAAGGACCCTGGCGCCAATTCCCTGCCTCCACCCACAACCTCTCCTCGCCAGAGTCGGTCCCCGGCTGGGCCTGGGTTCGAGGTCCGAGCTTCCCTGAGGCGCTACCCGCCCTCAAGCAGCAGGCCGGGTGAACCGCTCCAGAAATCCCACCGGCGCCACTGGGGTCGGCGGAGTGCGGACAGTGCGGGGCTGTCGCCCAACCGAGGCGGAAGGGAACGCACCGCGGAAACGTGGCCGGAGCT